TTTGCCCAGGAAAGAATTCAAGGGCAAGTCAGACGTAGAAGAAAACAGCTTTATTGAAGCAACAGTGTTACAGCTCTGGGACTGCTCCTGCAGAGCAGGGCCACCCCACAGGCGGAGCGGAGCAGCTCAGGGTCGTTCTACATTCCTATTTATACCTACTTTTTTTTTTGAGATGGAGTCTTGCTCTGTTGACAGGCTGGAGTGCAGTCATGTGATCTTGGCTCACTGCAACCTCTGCCTCCCGGGTTCAAGCGATTCTCCTGCCTCAGCCTCCCAAGTTGCTGGGACTACAGGTGCCTGCCACCACATCCGGCTAATTTTTTGTATTTTTAGTAGAGATGAGGTTTCACCATGTTGGCCAGGCTGGTCATGAACGCCTGACCTCAGGTGATCCACCTGCTTCAGCCTCCCAAAGTGGTGGGATTACAGGCATGAACTACCACGCACAGCTTTATACCTACTTTTAATTACATGTAGATGAAGGAGTGGTTTATGCAAAAAAAAATTCTAAGAAAGAGGTAGTAACTTCTGGATCATTGGGTCCTTGCCATGGAAAGGGGCGGTAACTCCGGGCATTGCCACGGGAACGGTAAACTGACCAGGCTCATTTACAACACAGACCACACAGCAAAACTTCAGAATTTCAGCACAGTGTCGGTGCTTCATGGCCTCATCATCTCCATTTCATTCTCCAATAACGTTAAGCTCTTTTCAAAATGATTCCCCAATGGCTAACATATGCCCATCTTCTGAAAATGATAATACCAATTAGAAATGTGAGCCAATTAGCATTAACTGGTGGCTGTGTCTTTTTTTTTTTTTTTTGGTGAGATGGAGTCTGGCCCTGTCACCCAGGCTGGAGTGCATCATCCACTGCAGCATCCACTACAGCATCCACTACAGCATCCACTACAGCATCCACTACCTCCACTACAGCATCTGCTACCTCCACAATAGCATCCATTACAGTGGATCTACCACAGCAATCACCACATCTACTACAGCATCCACTACAGTGGATCCAACACAGCACTCACTACATCCACTACAGCATCCATTACAGAATGCACTACAGTGAATCCAATACAGTGCCCCCAACAACATCAACCCCAGCATCCAGTATAGTGAATCCACTAGAGTTTCCACCATAGTGGCATTCTTTGGGTCTTGATTATAACAAGGGCTTCTAGAGGTGCTTGCGGTATAAGATTCTGGGGGAGTCACCTTGAGGGCACAATCTCAGGCAGCAGAGTCAACTTCATGAGGTTGGAGTTATGTTCAGGAGATGAACCAGCAGCCTCCAAGGAGGCTGGAGATCAACAGTTGAGAACATTAGAGCTTGGACTCATGGTCTAAACCACCCATCAACTATGTCACCCTAATTAAAAGTATTGCTTCCCTCTTTTGAGGAGTACTTTCAAGATACCAAAGTTTTCATGTGTTTTCTCTCACTTGTGCACTATCCTGGTGACCACTCTCTCATCTGTGGTCATGCAGAACACACATGGAGCAGAGCCAAGGCCAGAATTTGCATTTCCTGGCTCCCAAGTCTGACTGCCTCAGCAACCCACATCCTCATTCTAACCCAGAGCCCAGCCAGAGTTCCTCCTCTGGTTGTGAGACTGTGATCTATGAAACCAAAACTTTTGCCTTCCTTTCTTAGCCTGTCAGAGTCTTACCCCTGGGTAGGAGCCTTGGGTGAAAGGACAGGAGATAGATAAATTGATGGCGCGGATGGATGAATGGATGGATGGATAGTTGGATAGGTAAATGGATGGATGGATGGATAAGTGAGTGGATGAATAGGTAGGTGGATAGATAGATGAATGGATAGACAAGATGGATGTACAGACAAATGGGTGGGTGGATGGATAGAAAGAAAAGAGGGAAAGAAGGACAGATGGATGGATGAGTGGAGGAAGAGAAGGCAATAGATAAACATCTAGGAAATTACAAATACAAATAGGTAAAGAAGGCCCCAAGAGAGGACAGGTGGAAACAGGCTGGTCTGATGGTAGTGGGTTATCAGAACTTACTAACATTGGTGTCACTTAAGTTGGTATACAACCCCCCACTGCTAAGTTTGACTGGCCTTTAAAATAATAATTTTAAAAAAGACAAGTGGGGGTAGAAAAAGAATGGCAGAAAAGCCAGAGGAGTCTTTTAGTGGCAGGAGGAAGATGAAATCAGAGAGAAAGAAAAGCAAGACCAAATTATACTGTGACAGGAAGACTGGGTGGTAGAAATACAGATGCAAAGAAAGAAAAACAAGAGTCCAAAATTGGAGAAATAATTCAGAGAGAGAGTGACCAAGAAGGAGAGTAACTAAGGAACAGACAAAAGAGAAGCAAAGTGAGAGAAGAAAAATAAGACAAGAATGGGAGGAGCAGGGGGGAGATAGAGGAAGAAATGGGAAGACAGAGAAGTCCTATATAGAAGGAAAGACAGAGGGGAAGGTGGGGTAAGGAGACAGAGAAATAGTGTATAAAATAAAGTACGCTGGATGTGGTGACTCACGCCTGTAATCCCAGCACTTTTGGAGGCTGAGGTGGGTGGATCACCTGAGGTTAGGAGTTTGAGACCAGCCTGACCAACATGGTGAAACCCTGTCTCTACTAAAAATACAAAAAATTAGCCGGGTGTGGTGGCGGGTGTCTGCAATCCCAGCTTCTTGGGAGGCTGGGACAGGAGAATTGCTTGAACTCCAGAGGCAAAGGTTGCAGTGAGCCGAGATCGCGCCACTGTACTCCAGCCTGGGTGACAGAGCAAGAGACTCTGTCAAAGAAAAAAAGACTTGCATTTCTGACAACCAGATGATTCCTGTAGTCCCCACCCAGAAACAAACTCAGCATACACGGACCGTTTATTTTCATGCGTCCCGGACCAGTTAGTGGTACCTGCTTCCTACCCACCGAACTATCTTAAAAAAACCCTAGCCTCCAAATTTTCAGGTTTCCCATTTAGCTGGCTGTACACGTTTGTTTGTTTGTTTTTGAGACGGAGTCTCTCTCTGCTGCCCAGGCTGGAGTGCAGTGGTGCAATCTCGGCTCACTGCAACCTCCACCTCCTGGGTTCAAGCGATTCTTCTGCCTCAGCCTCCTGAGTAGCTGGGATTACAGGTGAGCACCACCATGCACAGCTAATTTTTGTATTTTCAGTAGACACAGGGTTTCACCATGTTGGCTAGGATGGTCTTGATCTCCTGACCTTATGACCCACCCACCTCGGCCTCCCAAAGTGCTGGGATTACAGGTGTGAGCCACCATGCCTGACCCATCTTTATAAACATGGGAGTTTCCTGCATGTTAGAATAAAGCAATATTAATAATGATTAGTAATAATAATAGGATGGTAAAGGAGTGGAAGATTCTTGCAGGATTGGACTCTAGTTGGTTCCCGTCACCTTTTATCTGCATCCTTGAACAGTACTCTCCAAAACTGACTCAGGGTTTAGCCATGGGACTTACTCTGGGCAGCGAGACAGTAGCAAATACCACACGAGCAGAAGTTTGGGAACCGTTTGCATTTTGGGGCTTGTTTTGTTCAGCTGGGTATCCTTGCAACCACCATGATATGAACAAGCTTGAGTGAACCTCATGGAAGACAAGCAATCCTGGCTATCCCAGCAGAGGCCTCAGCACAGGAGTGAGGCTACTCCTAGAACCACCACCCAACCAACACATAGAACTGTAGGAAACAGGCCAGGTGCTGTGGCTCACACCCAGAATCCAACACTTTGGGAGGCCGAGGTGGGCAGATCACTTGAGATCAGGAGTTCGAGACCAGCCTAGGCAACGTGGCAAAACCCCTTCTCTACTAAAAATACAACAACAAAAAATAAGGCTGAGTGTGGTGGCTCAAGCCTGTAATCCCAGTACTTTGGGAGGCCGAGGTGGGCAGATCACCTCGAGAGGTCAGGAGTCTGAGACCAGCCTGGCTAACATAGTGAAATTTACAAAAAATGTAAATTTCTTTTTGTCTTTACAAAAAATACAAAATTAGTGGGGCGTGGTGGCATGCATGTGTAATCCCAGCTACTTGGGATGCTGAGGCAGGAGAATTGCTTGAACCTTGGAGACAGAGTGTGGGGCTGTTACTTAGCAAAAATTAACATGTGAAATGATGTGACTCATTCAAAGCCACTCAAGGGACTGAAGGTGAGGAGTCTGTCTCTAACCCACTACACTCTGCACTGTGCACGAGTAGCTCAAGAAGGGCTATTCAAAAGGCTTTCAATCCCATGGTCTAACCCATGGTCGCCCACCTGTCCACCCAACCTGGGAAAAGTTCTCCACTCCCAGGATGACATGGAAAATATTTAACATCCGAGTTTCCCACATGTCAGAATAGAGCAAGATCTTGAAGGTTCATTGCTATTCCTGGAGTGAACCCTTTAGTGGCTGGACCATGGGGAGGTCTGGGAGCCCTTGGGGAGGTGCTTAATTACCAAATGGCATGGAAATAGTGCAATATTTAAACCACCAGTTTGGGCATACCAGTATGTCCCTGTGAGTCATCAACTCTGCTGGTAGCATTTATTTAATCTCCCTCTTGACGTATGGAAGAATCTAGGTGTTTTTCCCCTCTAAAAAAAGGTGCTCACGGCCAGGCATGGTGACTCATGCCTGTAATCCCTGCACTTTGGGATGCCAAGGTGGGCCGGGCCCATCACCTGATGTCAGGAGTTCAAGACCAGCATGACCGACATGGTGAAACCCTGTCTCTACTAAAATACAAAAATTAGCTGGGTGTGGTGGTGGGTAACTGTAATCCCAGCTACTCAGGAGGCTGAAGCAGAATTGCTTGAACCTGGGAGGCAGAGGTTGCAGTGAGCCGAGATCACACTATTACACTCCAGCCTGGGCAACAAGAGTGAAACTCCATCTCAAAAAAAAATGGTACCCACAAATTCCAAGAGGTTTTTCTTAACACAGCCCAACCCACAGCCACATCCCCCCACCACACAACAGGTCCTTACTAGGACACCACACAAAAGCAAGTGTATTCTCAGATCATTTAATCAGAATTTTAATATAAACAGGTCATTATCCCATATTTTACATGCAAAACGATTTCAATATTCCAAAAGAAAAAAAAGGCATCTTCTATACATGGTGCTACTTGGCTCTTGTAGGAAAACATTGAAAAAATAATAATCGAGCTGTTGGTGGGTTTTGTGTTTCTGAGTTGTTTTCTACAAAAGCTGCGGCACATTTGACCCTTTGTTGCCAAAACGCAGGGCCGAGGCCACCCAGGCACACAAAGGGATGAGGAGCAGCAACTTTGAGGCAAAGTGTAAAGACTGAACAAGCTGTTCCTGAATATGTGCACCAATGCACACTCATTTTGAGGCTCTTCCTTCCTTCTCAAATGGGACCAAGAGCCCCAGATTTATCTGTTTTTTAACAAGGATTTTCAATGGCCCACACCCACCCAGATAGAAATATGGCTGGTGTCTGGTTCTGGACCTTGACTGTTATCAGAAGGTAACAGTAAGCTCAAAAAGCCATTGTGTCCCCTTCTCCCACCCCTGTTTCTTGGGGACCCCTAAGGAAATCTTCATCTTCTGTTGTAGCCCCTGAAAGTCCACTATGTTCTTTTGTATGTTCTAGGGGAAAAAAAAAATTCTGACCTGTCCTTTTTATTCCCAATCTCACCTCTCATATACATGAACATTCTGAAGAACATGCTGGAAGATTTTCAAAGTGACACCATGCTACGTGTACCATGTATATAAAATCAGCATTCCCTGTTTCCCATCCCCAACAAAACCATTGTTTCTGAAGAGCCTAAGGTGTTGAGGACTCATTAGGTGGCATCCAGGGGACATTTAATCCTAAACTTCCACTCACATGAAATAGAAAAGTGATCGTCACTGGGATTATAGCACGTCCACTTACCAGGACGGCCAGCATAAGTCAAAACCTGATGACATTTCTGCTCTTTCACAAGTGTTACAGTGGAATACAAATAAACACCTCCCAACTCAATAAGCACATTTCTTGGTGGACTGTCTGCCACAGGATACAGTGAAAGATCTGTCCATCAGTTAGCAACATAATCCCCAGGGTCACAGGATTACCTGTGCAGACCCCTTGTGTCAGTTCCCACAGTTTATCTCAACTGTCCTCAGCCTACATCCAGATGAGCCACAGTGCTTCTCCTTCTCACCACTTCCAATGACAGAATAGCACCTAGGACAGCTCCCAGAATCTGAACATTTTTGGACGAGTATTTGACATCACTGATGCAGAGAGAAAGTGACGTGCTTAGTATTCTCCTCCTGGAAGAAGAAACTACTGTGTGGATTTTACTACATTAATGAAAAGGGTTTTAATCATAGTGAGACATCTTTAAAAACAAGCAACAGAAAGTATTACCCTAAGCTGGTTTTGTTGATTTTTTTTTTTTTTTTTTTTTTTTTAACTTAACACTACAAACTCCCAGGACAACCATGTCTTTCTAGGACCAAAGTTCTATTGTTACAAAGCCAACATTTCCTAAAGTCAAAGGAGGCTTTCTTGCAACCCAACAGCTGCTTGCCCTTTTCACTGCAGCAGTAGAGTCAAATAAATGAGATTGGTGCACCCCATTTGCAAGGGGCAGGCCCAGCACCGTACCTTTCTCCAGGGCAGGTGGAGAAAGATGAATCTGCAAGGGCAGCGCCTAGAAGTACAAGAGCAGCAAGGTTTTGGCCCTGCTGGCCCTGCCTAGACTCTCACGTGGGTTATCAAAGCTGCACAGTGTCCAACAATATCAGCTTGAGGTCAATCAAACCCCAATACAGAGGTCTAAGGTGTTGTTGCAAAAAAAAAAGTGAAGGAAAGCATTCAGCACATTAATGGATTTTGGATTAGAATTTCCCCCACATGCTCCCATCCCACTTGGAGAATTAAAAAAGACATTGCATTAAGTGTTTGTGTGTCAGGTGCAGCAGCAGACTGAAAGAAGCAGGAATAAGACATCAGAGAGTCCAGGGCACCTTCGAGCTCACTTCAGGGGGATTCCATTGAACAGGTGGGAATGCTCGTTCTGAACCAAAGCCTGTCTTTGCCCCAGCAGCCATCTCTCACCAAAGGAAGGTACAGCATGCTGGGGCACCCCATATATCAGACACATCATGACATCCTGGGACTTAGTTTATGTTTGGGGAACTTAGTGACAATAGATGGAGGATTTTTTTTAAAGTAAGATTAAATTCAGAGAGGAATATTACCAGCCAGAAAGAAAAGGATCTATGCTCACATGAAGGCCACACCTTCTCCATCCCAACTCCCTCCCTCAAAATTCTTAATGGTCCCTGGCATTCGAATCAGCTAATAGACACTTTCCCTGATTCAGGCTGGTTCCAGGTAGAATTCTGAAATCTCAAAGATGTCCATTATTGAATCACATCTTAACAATACACTGAGGTAGACTGTGCTGAAAAAAAAATTATTATCCCCCATTCACCTGTTTATTTTTCTTTGATAAAAATTGACATGCGCTCCATTTTTTACGAGAGTGATTTTCAGAGTGATTTTATATATTAAAATAAATATGTTTTCCCCTAGTATAAGAAAAACCTTTCTGAATTAGAAAATGTGAAAATTGCAGCTAGTGTAGTATACAACCACTACAAATTTACTAGGAAGAGAACAAAATACCTAGATCTACGTGTGCGTGTGTTTTTAGATTTACGTACAGACCCTCACATTTGCAAAATAAATTTGGCAAAAATAATTTCTGTACTCTTGCTTCTTGTACCCAATCACTGAGGCTCCTTGGCAATACTTTTACATGCTGTAATTTCCCAAATCATATAAATAAGGTAACAATAGACCATTGGGATTTGTGTCTACCGGTGTTCTTAATCAAGAATTGAGAGGGCTCGGAGTTTGCCATTATGACTCTATCCCATTCTTAAGCCCACAACTCTTAAGAGAAGAAGAAAAGGAAGCAGTCAAAAGCTTGTAAGAAAATGCACTCAGGAATAACGCATGGGTGATGAGTTTTTTGATGAACCAAAGTGATGAGTTCACTGTGTTCTTTGAGCAGCTGTGGTGGTTCTTTTCGCAAAGAGAAGAAACGGTGGACTGATGCCCCGTCGGAAGTTCTCGGTGGTGTGAAGGTCTTTTTTCACGGTTTCTCCTCCAGACTCTACTGTCTTAGGGATTGCAACAACGTAAGCGCCTGAGCATTCTGCTCAGACCTTACACCTGGCCCAGATGAGGTCACCGGGCTCAGAGCAGCTTCCGGGAGTTCAGTTCGGAGGACTGCCAGGTGCCCTCAGGCTGGAGGGGACCAAGACGTAGTCTCAGTGCACCTCTCTCTTATATTGCTTAGATGTTCCCAAAGTCCATCTGGGTTGCTGGCTCTTTGGGATCTGATATTCTTGCATTTGCACAATAACGGTAGGATGTGCACACCCAGGAGAGGAAACGCCACACGAGGTACACACAGAGAACCAGAGGATGAACCAGAGGAAGGCAGGCTCAGGGCTAGGTAGCTACCAGTTTCATCTGAACAGCTTGGCACCTGAACCAGACCATCCACAAAACCTAGTCTCCCGCACACTCCACGTGGCCTCACAATTTCCAAAAGTGTTAGCAGCGAACGTGGCTTCATTCCCAGAAATGGATGCCTTTAAGACCAAACAAAGAGGCCACTCGTGCCTCACTCCCTCCCCGTCCCGGCCCCACAACAGGCAAAGCTACTCATGTCCCCACTCCCCACCAACCCCGGAGAAGAGTCAATAACTTATGAGGCTAATTCTGGAGACTTCTTAAAAATTAAATATGCTACAAATATATTTTCAAAACTCTATGTCATCTCAGTTCTCTTTTTTTTTTCCTTTTTCCATTTTTCTTTGTTTTTTTCTTTCTTTCTTTTTTTTTTTTTAACATCCTAGCTTGGTTTGGTCTTGAAAAGCTTCAGAATCACTCCAAATGAAATATTCCTCCCTTGGCTCCCCAAAAGCATTTTTTTCATCAATGTGAAGGGAGGGTAGGAACCTGAGGCTAACCTTCTGACACAAGAAGTATCTGTCGAGAGCATAGTCTCCCAGTCAATAAGGAAGGAGTGGGGGACATGAGCTGGCACACTTGAGAAAAACCTTCATGAGCCGATTCCCAAAGCATCAACTCCGCGTGGGTATGTTGCATACACATCAGCCGTGTCTAACGGACACACACACACGCGCATACAGATGTGAGCACACGCCGGGACCACAGACCCTTATCCAAAGTATGAAAACAGCAGCTGTTGGTCAGTTTGAGGAACTGATTTTGTAAAGAAAACAAAACAAAACAAAACCCTTCAGCCTGGACGAGGAGAACAAAAACCTCGAAGCTCAACCTGTGAAGCTTGAAATTCTCCTGGAGCAGGGCTGCGTATTTTTTGTTGTTGTTGCTTTTCTTTCGAGTTTTTGTTCCACAAACAAGAAGTTTTATCTCTTATACTGCAGCTCAGACACCAGCAAAAAACAAAAACAAAAAAGAATCTGTAAAAATAGGTGCTTTCTTTCCATCTACTGGGGGAAAAAAAGCAACAAAAAACACAAAATCCTGCTTGGAAACTGTGGTTGCCTAAAGAGGCAGCAGCTGTGGCAACCCCCTGCCGCTAGGTTCACAGTTAAGTCCTCTGCAGGACTAGTCCAATTGGCAACCAAACGAACAGAAATGTACAGGAACGATCTCTGAGCTCCATTGGACACTGTAGAGTTGTGTGAATCCTGAGTTTTCCAGAGGTTTCAAAACGGAGGAAAGTGAAGATGGGAGCCCCTGCCTGCCCCCGCTGCGGTAGGCACTATTAGGAAGGGTTGGAACGAGGCAAGGCCAGAATCCGCCCGTTCTTCTTGCCTCCATTCATGTGGGTGTAGGGGATGTGTTCGTCGTAGCTCCTCTTGAGACCCAGTGAGGACCCTCCATCCCGGCCCCCGGCCTCCTCCCTCTGACAGTGAGAGGAACGATCCAGGGGAACGTTCTCCATATCCTCAAACTCCATCTCCAGCTCCTCGCTCTCGGGAGCCTTGTTCTCCTCGCTGTGAAAGAAGGACACCTCGGGAAAGCTAGGATGCAGGTCATCCTTGAGCAAGTTGACAATCTCTAGGAAGGTTGGCCTCATCTTGGGGTTGAATTGCCAGCACATACGCATGAGATCAGTCCTGTGGAGCAGAAGGAAACGTCCTGGGTGAGTCTGGGGGCCCAGCCAAGCATCCTCCCATTCCTCCCCCCACCCATATGTAGCACATATGGAAACTCAAGTGTGGGTACCACAATGCAATATGCAAATGCAAGCACGCATGTAAAGACAAGCTCTGCAAACACAAACACGCCTGTAACACGTAGACTGCAAATGCAGTGCACATGTAGACATATGAAAGGCAAAGCCAAGCACATGTGGAAGGGGCAATACCCTTGTAATGAGCACCTCACACACCTCAACCCCTTTCTACACTTACACTCTCTCTGGACAGTTGTCAGGTTGATCCAGATACCCTCCTTCCATGACGAATTTCAACACTTGTTCATTAGACAGGCCTTGGTAAGGCTGTTCTGCCAAGCTGGTGATTTCCCAAAGGACCACGCCAAAGGACCTGCGGTGACAGTTGAGGGTAGTAACAAAGCCATTCACACACACACCGCACACACAATACATGTACATAGACACACACACACACAGACACGCACAAATACACACAGACACATGCAAACACACACAAACACCACAGACACACAAACACATAGACACACACACCAACACACAAATGCATACACACATGCAAACACAAACAGTACACACACAAACACACACAGGGACAGACACAAACACAAACCCACACAGACACACAAACACACACATACAAACACACACAGACACAAACACACACACACAAACACATGCACACAAACACACACACGCAAACACACACAAACACAGACACACGTACACGCACGCAAACATATCTCTTGGTTTGCTTGAACATGGTTGGCCGGCTAATGAAACATTCATCTGCAGTTCATAGATGCTGCCTTAATAAGGCAATTCTCCTGCCTTAGCCTCCTGAGTAGCTGGGATAAATACTGCGAAAGAAAATAAATCTCGGGGCCCCCAAATCACTAAACTCAATGAAAAAGTCAGGCTGGGAACTGCTTAGGGCTAACCTGCCTTCATTCTATTCAAAGTCCTCCCCTCCGCTCACTGAGATAAATGCATGTCTGATTTATCTCATGTCTGAGCCTCTCCAAAGGAGAGGCTCATCAGAAACTCAAAAGAATTCAGCCATTTGTCTCTTATCTATCTATGACCCACAAGCCCCCTCCCTGCTTCAAGTTGTCCTGTCTTTCGAGACGGAACCAATGTTCATCTTACATACGTTGTTGGATGCCTCGTTTCCCTAAAATGTATAAAACCAAGATGTGCTCTGGTCACCTTGGGCACATGCCATCACCTTGGGCACATGTCGTCACCTTGGGCAAACGTCCTCAACCTTGGCAAAATAAACTTCCTAAATCAACTGAGACCTGTCTCAGATTTTCGGGTTCACAATGCCTACCGGATTGGTCAGGACATAAGAGTAGCCGTGGGAAGGTCCTCAGACAGGAGGTTGCCTTTTTTACCTTGATGGGGAACCCACGAGGAAGGCAGGCTACCTTCTCCTGCTCTTGGGGGGTCACTGGCAGGGCACCTGGAATTCAAGCCCAGTGACTGCCCACCCATCTACGCACAACTCACCACATGTCAGAAGAAGTGGTAAAGATCCCGTCCTTCAGGGACTCCGGTGCCATCCACCGCACAGGGAGCAGACCCTTGCCCCCTTTCCGGTAGTAATCCGTTTCATAGATGTCTCTGGTCATTCCAAAGTCTGACAACACAAACGGTTCACACACTCTTAACCTTCAGCCTTGGTCCTAGCACCTGCCATCTTGACTGTCCCACCTCTCACACAGCCCTAAGAGGGGTTCACCTGGCTCAGGTGTGTGTCCACCTGGGTGGTGGCCAAAGCCGGTAAGAATGGATTCTGAGGGTATGCATGGGGAAGTGAAGGGGAAGGATGGGCCACTATTTAAAGCCTGCAGAAAGAAGGTACCAAGTGACAAAGAAGCTACATTTTTCTTTTACTTTCTTTTTTTTTTGAGAGAGAGAGACTTGCTCTGTTGCCCAGGCTGGAGTGCAGTGGTGTGATCTCAGCTCACTGCAACCTCCATCTCCCGGGTTCAAGCAATTCTCCTGCCTTAGCCTCCTGAGTAGCTGGGATTACAGGTGTCCACCACCATGCCCGGCTAATGTTTTGCATTTTGAGTAGAGACAGGGTTTCACCATGTTGGCCAGGCTGGTCTTAAACTCTGGACCTCAGTTGATTTGCCTGCTTCGGCCTCCCAAAGTGCTGGGGATTACAGGCGTGAGCCACTGCACCCGGCCAAAGAAGCTACATTTTGGCCAACAGCTTGGGAATCCCAGTCTTAACAAGGCTTCCTTCCCACCGTTACCACTACAGGCATCCCAGACTGAACTTCCGCCTTTTTCCAGCAAACCTACAGTTGACCATTGGATATGGCCACGCAGTCACCCAGCTGCCTCCCAGAAACCCGGAGTTGGCCCCTCCTTTGACCACCCCCTTTCCTCTCAGCCCACATCTGATTCAACCCATTCTCTCTCCACATGTCTCTGCTATTCAATCCATCTACTACTGTGGTTTCAACCAGACCCACGCCCACATCTCTTACCTGGAGGACCCTCCTTTCACCTTGACCTTCACAACCCACCGCCCCATGTCACTTCCTGCTTCCCATTGCTAATGTAGGAGATGTGTTTTTGTTTGTTTGTTTTGAGATGGAGTCTCGCTCTGTTGCCAGGCTGGAGTACAATGGCACGATCTTGGCTGAAACCTCTGCTTCCCAGGTTGAAGTGATTCTCCTGCCTCTGCCTCCCAAGTAGCTGGAACTATGGGTGCCTGCCAGCACACCTGGCTATTTTTTGTTTTTTTAGTAGAGATCGGGTTCACCATGTTGGCCAGGAAGGTCTTGATCTCTTGACCTCATGATCTGTGATCCACCCGCCTTGGCCTCCCAGAGTGCTGGAATTACAGGCATGAGCCACTGTGTCTGGCCTTTTTTTTTTTTGAGACAGAGTTTCACTCTTGTTGCCCAGGTTGGAGTTCAACGGCACAAGCTCTGCTCACTGCAACCTCCACCTCCCAGGTTCAAGTGATTCTCCTGCCTTAGCCTCTTGAGTAGCTGGGAGTACAGCCACCTGCCACCACACCTGGCTAATTTTTGCATTTTTAGTAGAGACAGGATTTCACCATGTTAACCTGGCTGGCCTTGAACTCCTGGCCTCAAGTGATCCACCCACTTTGGCTTTCCAAAGTGCTGGGATTACAGGTGTGAGCCACTAAGCCTCACCAAGAGATGCCTTTTTGAGTCATATATAGAATCATGCACTTCCTGCTACCCCTTGTGAATGTACGATAATGTCGAGATGACTTGGCCAGACATGCAAGGTGCTTCTGGGTCTGGTTTCTGTCTCTCTCCTCAACCTCACATCTCATGCTGCTCTGGTGCCCTCTGTATTCCCTTTTTGTTTGTCTTTTGAAACTATGTCTCACTGTTGCCCAGGCTGGAGTGCAGTGATGCAATCATAGCTCACTGCAGCCTCTACCTCCTGGGCTCAAGCAATCCTCCCATCCCAGCCTCCTGAGTAGCTGGGACCACAGGTATGCACCACTACACCCCACTAATTTTTAAATTTTTTCATAGAGATGGAGCCTCACTATGTTGCCCAGGCTCGTCTCAAACTCCTGGACTCAAGTAATCCTTATACCTTGGCCTTCCAAATCACTGGAATTACAGGTGGGAGCCCTGGGCCTAGAAACATCTTTTGAATGACACAAGAGTCTGGAAAGTGGTGGAAGATTCTAGAAAGTGATGGAAGATTCTGGAAAGCAAAGCAAGATTCCAGAAAGTGAATGGGCAAGTTTATCAACACATGCAATTAAATGACAGCTGGGGGGTGGTCCACTCCAGCCTGGGCGACAGAAAAACAAAAACAAACAAAAAACAGACAAAAAAGAAATAACTTGCCCCTTTATACTATCAGGAAGATCTAGCGGCTCAAGATAGACAGCTTCCTTCTGGAATCAAACCTGGCCTGGGTCGTTAATGTTTTCAAAGTGGAAAGCTGGACCAACCTCCAATTTTGACAGTGAAATCATGCGCGACCATGCAGTTTCTGGCCGCCAGGTCCCGATGCACAAACTTCTTGGCGTTCAGGTAAGCCATCCCATCAGCAATCTCTGCTGCCATCTGAATCATCTCTTGCAGGGTGGGGGGAGGGCGGCCGGGATTGTTCTAAAACAGAAACATGGGGTTGGTGTTTCAGCAGCACTAGTCTCTGAGGAGGCTGGGAGCCAGTGCCCCACTGAGCACCCCGCTGGGTTCCCCAAGGCAGCTCACCTCAGCCTCCGGCCGCAGAGAACGGAGGTAGCTCTTCAGGTCTCCGTGAGCCATCAGCTCCATCACCACCAGTGTGGGCTGGCCCTTGGACACCACTCCCAGGAGGCGCACCTGCAGATCAAGCTATCAGGGCTCCTGGAGAAGGGTCCGTGATTCCACTCCCCAAGGTTCTCCCTGCCTGGTGTCCATGTCACACACAGCACCCTGTGACCTGGATGCAGGGAGCTCAGCCCTGGTCTAGGGGAGCAGACGGACCTGCCCAGACAGCAGACAGACAGGCCTTTGTATTTTAACTGTAACCCCCTGCCTGGCTCTCTGTTCTGTGCCACATCCACAGGGCCCAGCCCCTCATGTCCTCTAAGTCTCTGCTCAAAGACACCCCTGCCCAGCCCTCCTTTCCTCCCTTTCTTCACGTTTCCATAGATTTCCTCCGAATGCATAAAGGGTTTGAAGTAGGTTGGGGGCGGTGGCTTATGCATCCCAGCCATATGCATCCCAGCACTATGGCAGGCTGAGGCAGGTGGATCACCTGAAGTCAGGAGTTTGAGACCAGCCTGGCCAACATAGCGAAACCCCATCTCTACTGAAAATACAAAAATCAGCCAGGTGTGGTGGTGGGCGCTGGCCATCCTGGCTACTCAGGAGGCTGAGACAGGAAAATTGCTTGAACCTGGGCAGTAGAGGTTGCAGTGAGCTGAGATTGCCCCACTGCACTCCAGCCTGGGTGACAGAGTGAGACTCTGTCTTAAAAAATATATAAAAATAAACTGGGCATGCTGGCTCATGCCTGTAATCCCAGCACTTTGGGAGGCCTTTGAGGGCAGATCACAAGGTCAAGAGATCGAGACCATCCCAGTCAACATGGTGAAACCCCAACTGAACTAAAAATACAAAAATTAGCCGGATGTGGTGGTGGGTGCCTGTAATCTCAGCTACTCAGGAGACTGAGGCAGGAAAATCTCTTGAACCAGGGAGGCAGAGGTTGCAGTGAGACAAGATTGCGCCACTGCACTCCACCCTGGGTGAGAGAGAGAGAGACACTGTCTTAAAAATATATAAAAATAAAAATAAAGGGTTTGGAGTCTCTCCACATGTTGTTTAGGAAGCTCTACAGGGGCAGAAATCCACTGTATCACAGGGACAAGAGCAGGGCTTTAAATGCCTCATAAATATGTCTGGCAAGAATGAAAGCACATGGGACCCAAAGAGAGACAAAGGGGTTACTGGAGCCGAAAGGCAGGAAGAGTTTGTGCTGCCTTCAGTGGAGGGTAGGAATGAGGGCAGGTGATATGGGGTGGACCTCTGTGTGGTCCATGATTACAAAGGAGCCAGGAAGAGGAAAGAAATGGAGGATTCTAAAAAGCAATGGAAGATTCTGGAAAATGATGGAAGATTCCAGAAGGTGATGGAAGATTCCAGAAAGCAATGAAGGATTCCAGAAAGTGATGCGACAGTGATAGAGTCTGGTTCCAGGTGAAGAGGATGGGATTTGAGAAGGGAAAGATCCCTCCCCACACTGATAGGATGGGAAGCTTAGTGCAGTAGGGGTTGGGCAGAGGGTTACACTCAGTATCCTCTGTTGCTCTGTGCAGGAGGAGGAGGCAGAGAGAAGGAAGGGGCAGGAAGGCAAGCCTGTGTCCCATCCCTGCTGGACTCACCACGTGGTGGCAGGTGAAGCCCTTCATGACTGAGGCCTCGTTGAGGAACTCAATCCGCTCTCGGAGACTGGCTGACTCGTTGACCGTCTTCACCGCCACGCGGGTCTCTGCCTCACCCTTGATGACATCCTTGGCGTTGCCTTCATACACCATGCCAAAGGAGCCCTGCCCCAGCTCACGAAGGAGGGTGATCTTCTCTCGAGGCACCTCCCACTCGTCCGGCACGTACACAGAGCATGGAAACACTACTTCTCACTTATCTACACAGCATCCTTGGTGGATCCCTTGGGGGGTCTGCAGCCACCTTCCACCAAAGCCCTCACCCAGATCCCCTCGAAAACACTCATGAAATGAGTTCTGTGATCCAGGGCTCATGCCAGGCACTGGGTATATGGCCAAGAACAGGATGGGCGTCTGCACCCATGGAGGGCATGGCAGAGACTCAGGAAGGAGCCATAACAGGTCCAAGATCCTGCCTAATATGTCCAGAGGCAAGCCTGCATCCCCCTTCTTGTCTGATTTCAGACCCTTGCTGCAGAGTGATGCTACTTCCCAACTGAGACTACTGTTTCTGCAAAGTGCCAAGAGGATGGAAGACAGGTTGTAATAGGTGGGAAAAAATTTAAAAGCCAGGATGCTTGGCAGCTCTTCACAGGAAAAGGTGAAGTCTTTCTCACCACCTCTTGGCCCTAGGCATGGCCTTGTGAGTTATTTTGGTCAATAGGAATCAACAGGAATGACTCAGGCAGAGACTTGGAATGGACTAATGCCCTGGAGCTTGCCCTCCCTTGTTACTAGGCACCAACAGAGTACCATGTAATGAAGTCTCAGCCAGCCTACTGGAGCCTAAGAGGCCACATGGACAGGAGGAGGCTCAGCCTCCCCCAGCTTAGGCCCCCCAACCTTGGGAACATCCAGCCTGCTGACCACCAGACATGTGAGTGAAATCATCTAACACTACTGAGCACTAGCTGACACACCAGCAAAATGTACCTACGTGGGTGAAGCCAGGCAAGACCAGAAGAACTGTCCAGCTGAGCCCAGCCCAAGTGGTTGATCCTGCCCAAGGATCCCAGACCAGCTAGATGAGCCCATTCAGGCAGGTGCCAGATACCATGTGTCCAGATGCACATAGTAATGAAGTTTCTGCAGCAAGGGCAGTTTAGCAAACTCAAATGAATGAGAGGGCTTTTCTTGGCCTCCCTGGGGAACCCATCATTCACTCTCACTCAATGGTGAAAGCAAAGGAAGCTGATGAGTAGGGTTCTGGCCACCCACAGGGAAGGGATGGTACTCACCATCACTGGCACTGAGATACTCAGGGTTTGAAGAAGCATAAAGTGGTCCCAGTGGTCCATCTTGCTGCCTGGAGGAGAAAAATGATGCACATTAGCTTGAGATTCTCATGGAACTTTGAGAGTCACCACAAAGGGGTTACATACAAGACTCTCCAAGGCGAAAGGCAGCCCTTACCAGCAGAATCCCCATAATCCTAGATGCAGTCTAGGACAGGGATGGGGGACCTTTATATTTTGAATGAAAGCCCATCAGGATGGGGGACCTTTATGTTTTGAATGGAAGCCCATCAGACAGGTACTTAAGTGGAACAGCATGAGAGCACTCATTCTTCCCTGGATGGTTTTTCTCTTACATTTCAGAGTTGGAGTCTTGCTGTGTTGTGGCTGGAGGGCAGCAGTATAATCATAACTCACTGCAGTCTCAACATCCTAGGTTCCAGAGATTCTCCCACCTTAGCTTTCTGAGTAGCTAGGAATACAGGTACTCACCACCACACCTAGCTAATTTTTAAAATATTGTAGAGACAAGGTCTCACTATGTTGCCCAGGCTGGTCTTGAACTCCTCCTGGTCTCAAGAGATCCTGCTGCCTCAGCTTCCTGAGTAGCTGGGATTATAGATGTGCACCACCATGCCGGGCTCTGGGTGTGTGGCTCTTATTATAATTTATGGCCGTCCACATAACACTTAAAAGCCACTCACTCAGTACTGTTCTAGAGTGAGATTGTCCCAGCTGATGAGAAACAATTATTACATATTCAGGAAACCAGTGATCTAGTTGTGAAATACAACCATCATTGAAGATTAAATTATACAATGCCTTCCAAATAGAACAAAAAATTTAAATTATAGAGGCTTACAATTAAGTAAGCTATCCTAAAAGCAAAGATAATACATGTTCAAAACTGATCACTTCCTAACTCTCATACTACATTTTTCTATGATCAATGCAGTTGAGGTTATGTATGTTATATCATTTATGTACCATATTGTATCCATAGGGGAGATACAACAGGGAGCTGTCATGTATCCCTTTCCAAAACTGCACTCAGTAACATTATGTCTACAGCTTGAAATTAGCCATGCTGGGAATATTTACACCATGGAAACTGGCAAATGCTATAACCCAGGACAGGATTTGTTGTGTTATTGTTTGTCCAGGCTTGAGAAAGTGATGAGAAAAATGTTTAATAATGCGGATGAAACTCAAAAGCATGTCACATCTGCAACTATGACATTACACACTACACAAAACATTCAGAAAATGTTCTTCTGGTCTTTAAGAATTACTGTCTGACTCAGCAAAGACACCACTCATATCATTGAGGAACACATATGTCTTATTCCATTTTTGTCCTACACTTTTTTCTTTTGAGACGGAGTCTTGCTTTGTCGCCCAGGCTGAAGTGTAGTGGCGTGATCTCGGCTCACCACAACCTCCACCTCCCGGGTTCAAGCAATTCTCCTGCCTCAGCCTCCTAAGTAGCTGCAATTATAGGTGCATGCCACCATGCCTGGGTAAATTTTTTTGTATTTTTAGTAGAGACAAGGTTTCACCATGTTGGACAGGTTGGTCTCGAACTCCTGACCTCAGGTGATCCATTCGCCTCAGCCTCCCAAAGTGCTGGGATTACAGGCGTGAGCCACCACTCCCAGCCATGTCCTACTCTTTAATGTAAATTTTGAAAAATCAATCAACATTCACATTGGAGCTATGCTCGTTTATCAATTGCAATAATAGTTTGGCTTCGGATATAAAGATTTGGGCAAAAAAAAAAATCAACAAAAACATTCCACGAGAATCAACTGGCTAGAGAAAATTTACAATAAAGAATTGTGTATATCATATTATGATTATTACCTGTAAATTGCATGTTACATATCCTTTATCAGTAAAATTCATAATAAACTTAAATATACCTATAGAGAGCTGATGGTTACCAGCACACCACTGCACTCACCTCTTTCTCAGGAATATATAAATACTTCCAATCACAACACTGAAGAGAAAGACAAAGATGAGGGGGCCGATGATAATTTTTGCAATATTTGATGGGACATCTACTGAAATAGAATAAGAAAATATATGTTTCACATCAGTGTGTTCCCAACAGAGTTAACACCAAAAATCACATCCACTCCTAGAATGAGTGCAATCTTGGCTCACTGCAAACTCCGCCTCCCAGGTTCAAGCAATTCTCCTGCCTCAGCCTCCAAGTAGCTGGGATTACAGGCATACACCACCACGCCTGGTTAAATGTTTGCATTTTCAGTAGAGACAGGGTTTCACCATGTTGGCCAGGATGGTCTTGATCTCCTGATCTCATGACCCGCCTGCCTCAGCCTCCCAAAGTGCTGAGATTACAGGTGTGAGCCACCATGCCCAGTCACTCTGCTGTTTAATGCTCTGCTGTTCCCCCTCTGAAATTCTTACTCATTGTATTTTATTGTATTTTTATTATTTTTGTTTTTTTTCTTTTAATCTTCTTCTTATTCATGTTTGTGATGGAGTCTTGCTCTGATGCTTGGGCTGGAGTGCAGTGGTGTGATCTTGGCTCACTGCAACCTCTTCATCCCAGGTTCAAGTGATTCTCCTGCCTCAGCCTCTCAAGTAGCTGGGATTACAGGCATGCGCCACCACACCTGGCTAATTTTTGTATTTTTATTAGAGACTAAAGGGTTTCATCTTGTTGGCCAGGCTGGTCTCAAACCCCTGACCTCAGGTGATCCTCCCGCCTCGGTCTCCCAAAGTACCGGGATTATAGGCATGAGCCACTGTGCCTGGCCAACTTCTTAATAATTTTAAAGGCAGGAGCTCTGCGTTTTCATTTTTCACTGGGTCTTGCAAATTACATAGCTAGTCCCTATCCCAGCATGACTTTTGGCAGATGTAAAATTCTTTTGATTTTTATTTTTTAGAGACAAGGTCTTGCTCTGTGGTCCAGGTTGGAGTGTGGCGGCATGACCACAGTTCACTGCAACCTCCAACTCCGGGGCCCAAGTGATCCTCCTGTCTCAGCCTCCCAAGTAGCTGGGATTACAGGCATGCACCACCACACCTGGCTAATTTTTGTATTTTTGTTGCTGTTGTTCCCCGGCAACAGCCTGCACAGCCTGCAGCCCATTCCAAAGTGAAGTGCAGTGGTGCAGTCTCAGCTCCCTGCAACCTCTGCCTCCCGGGTTCAAGTGATTCCCTTGCCTCAGCCTCCCGAGTAGCTGGGACTACAGGCACTCGCCACCATGCCCGGGTAATTTTTTGTATTTTAGTAGAGATGGGGTTTCGCCATGTTGGCGAGGATGGTCTCTATCTCCTGACCTCAGGTGCTCCACCCTCCTCAGCCCCCCAACGTGCAGAGATTACAGGTGTGAGCCATCGCACCAGGCCATTTTTGGATTTTTTGTAGAGACAGAGTCTCTCTGCTTGCTCAGGCTGGTCTCTAATGCGCATCCTCAAGTAATCCTCTTGGCTCAGCCTCCCAAAGTCCTGGGATTACAGGTACGAGCCACTGCACCAGCCAAAAATCTCTAATAACAAAGATGGAGACACTAGCAAGAGGTGGCAGGCACTTAACATTTATATTATTAAAATGTCCCTCCACCTCCAGAAGTGGTTCTGTTATTATCTCCATGTACAGATGAGGAAGTGCAGGATCACTAAAGAAAATGTGATACATACACACCATGGAATACTACACAGCCATAAAAAAGAATGTGATCATGTTATTTGCAGCAGCATGAATGGAGCTGAAGGTCATTATCCTAAGTGAATCAACACAGCAACAGAAAACCAGCTACCTCATGTTCTCACCCATGAGAATGAAACGCTGAGCGCATGTGAGCAGAAAGGAGGGAACAAGAGACAGCAGGGCTGATGTGGTTTGATCTGTGTCCCCCACCCAAAGCTCTTGCAGAAATGTAACCCCGGTGTTGGAGGAGTGGCCTGGTGGGAGGTGACTGGATCATGGAGGCGGTTTCTAATGGGTTAGCAACGTCCTTGCCCGTTACTGTATAATGAGTGAGTTATCATGGGATCTGGTTGTCTAAAAAGTGTGTAGCACCGGCCGGGCGCGGTGGCTCAAGCTGTAATCCCAGCACTTTGGGAGGCCGAGGCGGGTGGATCACGAGGTCAAGAGATCGAGACCATCCTGGTCAACATGGTGAAACCCCGTCTCTACTAATGATACAAAAAATTAGCTGGGCATGGTGGCGCGTGCCTGTAATCCCAGCTACTCAGGAGGCTGAGGCAGGAGAATTGCCTGAACCCAGGAGGCGGAGGTTGCGGTGAGCCGAGATCGGGCCATTGCACTCCAGCCTGGGTAACGAGAGTGAAACTCCGTCTCAAAAAAAAAAAAAAAAAAAAGTGTGTAGCACCACCCCCATTTGACACCTGGTTCCCACTTTGTCTTCTGCCATGATTGAAAGTTTCTTGAGGCCTTCTCAGAAGCCGAGCAGATGCTAGTATCAGGCTTCCTTTATTGCCTGTAGAGGCGGGAGCCAATTAAACCTCTTTTCTTTATAAATTCCTGAGTCCCAGTCTCAGGCCTCTTCTTTTCTCTTTCTTTCTCCTTTCTCTTTATTTTTTTCTCTCTTTCTCTCTTTTCTCTTCTTTTTCTTTTCTCTCTTCCTTTCTTTGTTTTTTTTTTTTTCTCTCTCTCTCTTTCTTTTCTTTTTTTTTTTTGAGACAGAGTCTGGCTCAGTTTCCCAGGCTAGAGTGCAGTGGCGTGATCTCGGCTCACTGTAACCCCTGCCTCCCTGGTTAAAGCAATTCTCCCACCTCAGCCTCCCAAGTAGCTGGGACTACAGGCACATATCACCATGCCCGGCTAATTTTTGTATTTTTTGGTAGAGCACTTTGGGAGGCCAAGGTGGGTGGATCACTTGAGTCCAGGAGTTGGAGACCAGCCTGACCAACATGGTGGAATGCTGTCTCTACTAAAAATACAAAAATTAGCTAGGCGTGGTGGTGGGCTCCTGTAGTCCCAGCTACTGGGAGGCTGAGGTGGGAGAATCACTTGAACCTGGGAGGTGGAGGCTACAGTGAGCCAAGGTTACTGTACTGCAGAGCGATCCTTCATCTCAAAAAAAAAATGCAGAATCACAGAGGGCAAGCATCTAGCCCCAGTCACACAGTGGCAGCTGATGGACTCGAGGGTTAAGACCAGGGCCAGCACCCGTGTCCTCTCTCCATGTCATCCTCTGCAGTGTCCCGCCATGCTCGGTGCTAAGCGCAGCCCCAGCCCCCCAAGGCTGCCACAGAGACTTACAGTAGTCTGACACATAGAAATAGGTGGGTTCCGTCCAGGAGCCGTTGCCCGCCAGGGAAGTGGCCCGGACTCGCACGCTGTAGTTCCCCGGCGACAGCCCACGCAGCCTGCAGCCCCGTTCCAGAGTGAAGTGCTTGCGGGAGACGCAGAGATGCAGCTCCTGGAAGGAAAGGAGGAGGAGGGTGTCTGAGCTTTGCACATCTGTGATTGTCCACCCCTAGCGGGGAGCTCACAGCCAGGATCCCGCTCAGAGATGACGCTAAGGCAGCAAAGCACAGACGAAGACACACGAGTGGCTTCGGGAATTGCGGAATTTTATAACCATAGTGCTATGGATAAGGATATAGATGCAGGGGTTGTCGTTATTGGTAAAAGCCAGACTTCCTAAGCCGGAAGCCAAGTATCAGACCCTGATAGTTTCATCTAATCCTTTTTAAAATTTTTAATTAAATTCGCCTGGCTCAGTGGCTCATGCCTGTAATCCAAACACTTTGGGAGGACGAGGCGGGTGAATCACTTGAGGTCAGCAGTTCAAGACCAGCCTGACCAACATGGTGAAACTCTGTCTCTACTAAAACAATACAAAATTAGCCTGGTGTAGTGGCGCATGCCTGCCATTCCAGCTACTTGGGAAGCTGAGGCAGGAGAATTGTTTGAACCCAGGAGGTGGATGTTGCAGTGAGCCGATATTGTGCCATTGCACTCCAGCCTGGAGGACAAGACCGAGACTCCGTTTCAAAAAACTTCTTTAAAATTAAATTAATTAATTTATGTATTCATTTATTATTTTGGAGTCTCACTCTATTACCCAGGCTGGTGTGGTATGATGGCATGATCTCAGCTCACTGCAACCTCTGCCGACTCCTGGGCTCAAGCAATCCTCCCACCTCAGTCTCCTGAGTAGCTGGGACTACAGGCACCCACCACCCCCAGCTCATTTTTGTATTTTTTAAGAAACAGGGTTTTTGTCATGCTGTCCAGGCTGGTCTTGAACTCCTCAAACAATCCTTCTGCCTCAGCCTCCCAAAGTACTGGGATTACAGGCATGAGCCACCACACCAGCCTTCATCTAATTCCTGCAAGCTGTGTCTTGAGTAACACTACATTAGCCTTACACTAGGGGTGAGGAAACTGAGACTTAGGATGGAGACTGGCCAACTTCTGCCGTCAAGGACAGATAGTAACTATTCGCAGCTTCTTAGGCCAGATGCAATTTGGCTGTTATACTTCATGGACAATTTCATAACACCCATAAACAAAAGGGTTTGGTTGTATGTTAACAAAACTTGTTGACACTGAGAAGTTGAACTTCATGTAATTTTCATCTCTGGAATATCATTTTTCTATTATCAATTTCTAGTATCTCCCTTCCTTCCCTCCTTCCCTCCTTCTTTCCTTCCTTCCTTCCTTCCTTCCTTCCTTCCTTCCTTCCTTCCTTCATTCATTCCTCTCTCTCTCTCTCTTTTGGAGTTTCACTCTGTCACCCAGACTGGGGTGCAGTGGCACAATCTCGGTTCACTGCAACCTCTGCTTCCTGGGTTCAAGCGATTCTCCTGCCTCAGCCTCCTGAGCAGCTGGGACTACAGGCACTCACCACCACACCCAGCTAAGTTTTGTATTTTTAGTCAAGTCAGGGTATTACCATGCTGGCCTGCCTGGTTTCCAACTCCTGATCTCCAAGTGATCCACCCCACCTCGGCCTCCCAAAGTGCTGGGATTACAGGCGTGAGTCACTGCTCCAGGACCTATTGTCTATTTTCTACTAATATTATTTTCTATAATATTATATTTCTAAAAATCATTTATTTTTAATTGACAAACAATAGTATTATAGATCAGGCACAGTGGCTCATGCCTATAATCCCAGTCCTTTGGGAGGCTGTGATGGGAGGATCGCTGGAGCCCAGGAGTTAGAGACCAGCCTGGGTAACATAGTGAGACCCCATTTCCACAGAAAATAGAACAATTAGCTGGGTGCAATGGTTCACACCTGTAGTCTCAGCTACTCAGGAGGCTGAGGCAGGAAAATCACTGAGCCCAGGACATCAAGGATGCAGTGATCTATGATCTATGATCACTCCACTGCACTCCAGCTTGGGAGACAGGGCTAGACCCTGTCTCTAAAATAAATGAATAAACAAAAATAAGAATAATAGTTGTATATATGTATGGGGTACAGTATTAATATGTAATATGTATTGGGTACAGTATGATACAGTATAAATTGTGGAGTGATTAAAACAAGCTAATTAAATCCTCACCCCTCATGTATTCATCATTTCTTTGTTGTGAGAACATTTAAAATCTATTCTAGCAACTTTAAAATATGTGTCATTAGCTGCAGTCACCATTCACCTACAGAGCAACGGATTCCTAGAACGTATTCCTCCTGCTGAAACTCTGCCTGTGATTCACATCTCTCCTTCTTCTTCCTTTGGTCGCTCCCACTCCCAACCATTTTAAAATAGACAAGTGGGTGGTGCACGGTGGCTCACACCTGTAATCCCAGCATTCTGGAAGACTGAGGTGGGTGGATCACCTGAGGTCAGGAGTTCGAGACCAGCCTGGCCAACATGGTGAAACCCCATCTCTACCCAAAATACAAAAATTAGTGGTGACAAATGCCTGTAATCCCAGCTACTCGGGAGGCTGAGGCAGGGGAATTACTTGAACCCAGGAGGCAGAAGTTGCAGTGAGCTGAGATTGTGCCATTGCACTCCAATCTGGGCAACATGCAAGATTCCATCTCAAAAATAAATAAGTACGATGAAAAAGTGACTCCTAGCTCACAAATCATTAGAACTCAGGCAGCAAGGCCAAGCGCAGTGGCTCATGCCTATAATCCCAGTACTTTGGGAGGCCGAGGTGGGCAGAACACCTCAGGTCAGGAGTTCGAGACCAGCCTGACCAACATGGAGAAACCCCGTCTCTACTGAAAATACAAATATTAGCTGGGCATGGTGGCACATGCCTGTAATCCTAGCTACTTGGGAGGCTGAGGCAGGAGAATCGCTTAAACCTGGGAGGTGGAGATTGTGGTGAGCTGATATTGCACCATTGTACTCCAGCATGGGCAACAAGAGTGCAACTCTGTGTCAAAAAAATAAAAGTAAAACTAAAAATAAATAAAATGCAAAAGTGACCCCTAGCTCATGAATCGTTAGAAATTGGGCAGCGGGCCACATGTAGCCTATGGGATGCGGCTTGCTGACTGAGCCCTAGTTTAGATCACATGGTTTGTCCGAGATCTCACAGCTGCAAAGCAGCAGGGCCAGCTCTTGAACTCAGAACTGTCTGGCGTGAAAACGTCTCCTTCAGACCCCTGCAGAATATTTTTGCAGGTCTCCAACAAAATGAGAAAAGGGTAGAAATGAAGGATCTGCATGGCCCAAGCCAGATTTCCAGCCTTTCCCTGCAACTCCGGCCTCTGCACATCAGGACCAAATGCACACGTGGGCTTCGTGTCTATGGACAAATAAAAAAGCTTTTTCTTTGCCATGGTGCTGCCCTTCGATTTTTTTAAAAAGTCATCATGAAAACAGTTGAGAGCCACCCAAGTATCTGGTGGAAATAAGAGGAGATGCACAAAGTGTGGAAGACACCTGGTGACAAGCATGTAACTAGAGATACACCCAGAACTTACGAGAAGAGGCTCTCTAGGGAATAAGACCATGAAACCTGCCAGCGGTCAGCCAAAACTGAAAAGTTTTCGAAACAGTTCCAAGCTAGTAGTGCACACAGAGAACCGGCCTGGAACATTTGGTTTGGGGAGGGTGGGGGGTGGCGCAGGCCGGTGGAGAGTGGAGAAGAGAAAGACATTTAAAAAAAAAAAAGCCAGTATCCCCTTGCTTATCATGTGACAATAACAGCAAGAAAACAAATCGGGCTGGTGGCAGGGAACTGCAGCCCGAAGTTTCTTCCAAGTGGAGTGAGTCACGGAGTAGAGAGGGACAAATAAGCAAATATAGAAACCCAAGGTAGTTCCTATCCGGGACAAAGGGGAAATGCATCTTTTTTTTTTCTTCGAGATGGAGTTTCGCTCTTGTTGCCCAGGCAGGAGTGCAGTGGCACCATCTCAGCTCACTGCAACCTCCGCCTCCTGGGTTTAAGAGATTCTCCTGCCTCAGCCTCCCTAGTAGCTGGAACTACAGGCATACACCACTACGCCTGTCTAATATTGTATTTTTAGTAGAGATGGGGTTTCTCCATGTTGGACAGGCTGGTCTTGAACTCCTGACCTTAAAGGTGATTCTAAGCTTGACAGAGGTTCTAGATCCTTTCCACATGCATCTCTCTTGTTTTTCACTCCTCGAGGTATCTGGGGTGAATGATTGGCATTAGAAGATACATTTTCCAGCTGGGCACGATGGCTCATGCCTGTAATCCCAGCACTTTGGGAGTCTGAGGCAGGTGGATCACCTGAGGTCAGGAGTTCAAGATCAGCCTGGCCAACATGACGAAACCATGTCTCTACTAAAAATATAAAAACTTAGCTGGGCATGGTGGTGGGTGCCTGTAATCCCAGCTACTTGGGAGGCTGAGGCAGGGAGAATTGCTTGAACCCGGGAGGCGAAGGTTGCAGTGAGCTGAGATTACATCATTGCACCCTAGCCTGGGCAACAGAGTGAGACTATGTCTCAAAAAAAAAAAAAAAAAAAAAAGGAATTAGGCTCTGACACAGGTTACCATGTGGATAAACCTTGAAAACGTGCACTGTTCACAGTAGCATAGACTTGGAACCAACACGATACCCATCAGTGACAGACTGGATAAAGAAAATGTGGTACAGATACACCATGGAATACCATGCAGCCATAAAAAAGGATGAGTCCACGTCCTTTGCAGGGACATGGATGAAGCTGGAAACTGTCATTCTCAGCAAACCGACACCAGAACAGAAAACGAAACACCGCATGTTCTCACTCATAAGTGGGAGTTGAACAATGAGAACGCATGGACACAGGGAGGGGAACATCACACATCAGGACCTGTCGGGGGTTGGGGGGCTACAGGAGGGATAGCGGGGGGTGGGGGGATTGGGGAGGGACACCATTAGGAGAAATACCTAATGTAGATGACGGGGGGATGGATGCAGTGAACCACCATGACATGTGTATACCTATGTAACAAACCTGCTCGCTCTGCACATGTACCCCAGAACTTAAAGTATAATATATAAATTTTTTAAAAGGAAAGAAAAGAAAGCATGATGCTCAGTGAAAGAAGTTAGACACAAAAGGCCACACGGTATATGATTCCACTTGCAATGTCCAAAATAGGCAATAGAGACAGAGTCCCCAAAGAGAAAGAAAGTAGATTAATGGTTCCTAGGGGAGAAGAGACAGGGAAGCTTGGCAGGAAGGAGTGACAGGTACAGGAGGTAGGGTGCATTTTTGGATTTCGGGGTGATATTTTGGGTGACACAAACGTTCTGAAATTGACTGTGGTGATGTGGCACAATAAAAAGTTCAGAGAATGTACTGAAAACTGTTGGCATTTTTAAAAAATTATTTATTTATCTATCGAGATGGAGTCTCACTCTGTGGCCCAGGCTGGAGTACAGTGGTGCGATCTAGGCTCACTGCAACCTCCACCTCCCAGGTTCAAATGATTCTCCTGCCTCAGCCTCCCAAGTAGCTGGGATTATAGGCATGAGCCACCGTGCCCAGCCCCAAACATTGTTTTAAATGGCTCTTCATCCACCAATTTTATGGATGCACTGTCTTCCATGTGTCCATTCTCCAGTGCATGGACATCCAGTGGTTGGCATTTTTTGCTACTGATGAAAATCTTGTGCATAGAACTTTGTTCCCTGCCCCAAACTTGAACAATTTCTTTAGCACCTATAGGATTAATACATATGGGATAATACATTAATAAACTTTGCAATTATGGCCCTCAGGGAATCATGCCTTTCTGTGTCTATGAGACTCTGGAAGCCTCAGTATCCAGCTCACTGAAATGCCCAGAGGACGTACTGTCCTTCCTGATTCTGGACTTAGGCAAGGCCTCACTTTGCCAAAGGGGCACTAGCAAATGGGATGTAAACAGAGTCCTGAGAAGTGTTTGTACATGGGGCATGTCCTTTCTTGCCTGAGCTAGCTCTCTGGGCAGTAAGAGAATGCCCAGGGAGAAAGCTCCAAGTGCCCCCAGCTGAGCCCTGGCCATGTGAATGAGGCCATCCAGCTCCAGCCAAACTGGCTCAGGGCAAAGGAATCACCTAGTGAACGTGCAGAATTGAGAGAAAGAATAAATATCCTTTGTAGAAAACCAGTACTTTGGGGCGGGGGCAATTTGTTACGCAGCAAAAACTGACTGAAACAATAACTAAAGCTGTCAATCCAAAAAGCTAAACTGCTTTCCAGATAAAATTAGTATTGCCTAAAATGGTGAAAACTGGGCAACCAAAATCTGCACAAATAAATGAAGCCCAAGCATGAGATGAAGTCCTGTGTAGCAAGCACAAATCATAATCCCAAAGGCTAATGCAGACAGAGACATCAAGAGGAAGAAGAAAGTAACTTGTGAATATGGATTAGATGTACGGGCACGTTTGTGCCAATTAAAACTAGCTGAGCTCTGTGTGATAAGGAATTTTATTTTAAAAACAAATGTTAAAAAAAGGCAAGTCAGGCCATTCATTTAGTAAATAGGGCCCTAAAGTAGGCCCAGAATGACAATTTCAGTAAGAACCCTTTCTTTCTTTCTTTTCTTTCTTTCCTTCCTTCCTTCCTTCCTTTCTTTTTTTTTTTTTTTTGACGGAGTCTCACTCATCACCACACAGGAGTGCAGTGGCCAGATCTCGTCTCACTGCAACTTCCACCTCCTGAGTTCAAGTGATTCTCCTGCCTCAGCCTCCTGAGCAGCTGAGACTACAGGTGAGCACCACCAGGCCCAGCTACTTTTTGGTATTTTTAGTAGAGATGGGTTCTACCATGTTGGCCAGGATGGTCTCAATCTCTTGACCTCATGATCTGCCTGTCTCAATCTCCCAAAGTGCTGGGATTACAGGCATGAGCCACCGTACCCAGCCGGACTCTTTCTATTTTTGAAAGTTTACTTTTCCTATGAAGGGCCACATCAAAAGGCAGAAGAAAGTAAGAAGAAAGTCTCTGTTGCATATTCTTTTTTAGTTTTGAGATGGAGTCTTGCTCTGTCTCCCAGGCTGGAGTGCAGTGGCACAATCTTGGCCCACTGCAACTTCTGCCTCCTGGGTTCAGGCAATTCTCCTTGCCTCAGCATCCTGAGTAGCTGGGACTACAGGCACCCATCACTACGCCCAGTTAATTTTTGTATTTTTAGTAGAGATGGAGTTTTGCCACGTTGGCCAGACTGGTCTTGAACTCCTGACCTCAGGTAATCTGCCTGCCTCGGCCTCCCAAAGTGCTGGGATTACAGGTGTGAGCCACCCCATCCGGCCCTGTTGCACAGTCTTTACAATGCTCTGTAAGCCAGATTTGGCCCACAAGCCATAGTGTACGGATCTCAATGCTAAATTATTGTCAAAGCCAAAATCTTTGGAAGCCAAGAGTAGATGTGGCCCCAGGAGGGGTAAGTAGAGAGAGGTCCAACTGGTCATAGGAGGACTCTCTCTCAAAGTTCCAGGAAATCAGATGTTTTGCTGTAACCTCAGTTAGTTGTTAACAAACTCTGGCCCCCTAGCTAAACCTGGCCCACCACTTGTTTTTGTAAATAAAGTTTTATTGGCACACAACCACACCCATTCATTTACATATCATCCTTGGCTGCTTTCTCAGGTCAATGGTGGAACTGAGTAGTTGTAACAGAAATCATCTGGCCATGGAGTCAAACATGTTTACTATCCAGACCTTTATGGTAAAAGAAAAATTGGCAATTTCCAGATTGGAATATCAGTCTTGCATTTGGATCCTGATTCTATTCTTATAGTCCTTGTGCAGTAACTTCAACTCTGGAAGCCTCAGTACCCATCTCACTGGGATAATTTGAGGACATATTGTACTTCCTCAGTCCTGAGAGGTTTATTATTTTTGCATTTTGGCATTTCTGCAATTGGAATTCATCTTACAAGCAATACCATCTTACAATGAGAATTAACAATGCTTGGAGTCTATATTCTAGGAAAAAATAAAAATAAAATTAGAATTAACAGCACCTTTTTTTTTCTGTCTAGCTGTTCATAAAAATAAAGGGGCCTCTCAAAATGTCCTAGAGGTAATAAAATGTGATCAATGAGATACTATGTGTAATGTACTGAACGTGTTTAGGTTCATACAGTGAACCCTGGGAATAGTTTAGCAACGGTTTGGGTTCTTTTGGGTTCTTTGTTTTGGATTCTGTGTTTTGTGCATCTCTGCATTCACCCAGCAGCCTGCATGGTGTCTGGCTGAATGGAAGGATCCAGTGAAAAGCAACTTAGAAGGTTTTGTTGTTGTTGTTGCTGCTGCTGTTTTTGAGATTGAGTCTCGCTCTGTCACCACGCTGGAGTGCAGTGACGCAATCTTGGCTCACTGCAACCTCCACCTCCCAGGATCAAGTGATTCTTCCACCTCAGCCTCCTGAGTAGCTGGGACTACAGGTGCCTGCCGCCATGCCCGGCTATTTTTTGTATGTTCAGTAGAGGTGGGGTTTCACCATGGTGGCCAGGCTGGTCTCAAACTCCTGGACTCAAGTGACCTGCCTGCTTCAGCCTCCCAGAGTGCTGGGATTACAGGTGTAAGCCACCGTGCCCAGCCACTTATAAGATTTTAAGACTCAGATAACTTCTTCTAAAGTGAAATGAGTCTCCTGTCACGGCAGACATCATCCACTTTAGAGGATGCAGCTGAAAAGCAATGTGAGAAACTAAGGAAAGTAACAAGCTTATAGGTTGGCATTTCTGACCCAGCTCCCTGGGAAGTCATGTATCAAGGCTTTAAGTGCTAATAACACAGTATCTGATGATAGAAGCATTGGAATCAGAATTTAAGCAAAGGAAGGAGGTACCAAGAGCAACTCAGAAGGGGTGTGCCCAAGTATGAAGGGACCTTACCTCATCGCCATATCGTCGATAACTCACTTCATAAAGCACGATCAGACCATTGGGTTCCTTTGGTTCCTGCCACATCAAGTGGACAATGTTGTTCTCAAGGATTTCATGGGTCACAGGGCTGACAATGTCATCAGCCTTGGCTGTAAGGAGAGGAAGTGAGAGGCAGGGGGGTAACTCTTGGATCAGATCCCACTTCTGTCACCTGCCCGTGGAGCAACCTTGAAATGGTGGTGTCATTTTCCCATGTCCCATTTTCCTTGTTGGAGAATGGACATCTGAAACTCATCCCGTGGGATTGTTAGGAAGATTAAATGGGTTACTTTCTGCATATAACTTTTATGCTAAAGTCACTGCAGACTCACGAGAAGTGGCAAAAATAGCTCAGAGAGTTCCCATGGAGGCTTCACCCAGCTTCTGCCAATGATAACACCTCACTTAAGTCTTGTACATTATTAAAGCAAGGAAACTTAAACATTTAATAATGTTAAAGTTTCCTTTAAAGCTAGAATACTACTGTTAACTGAATTGCAGTCCTTATTGGTTTTTCTTTGTTTTTGAGATGGAGTCTTGCTCCGTCACCCAGGCTGGAGTGCAGTAGTGTGATCCAGCTCCCTGAAACCTCTACCTGGGTTCAAGTGATTCTCCTGCCTCAGCCCTGCCCCGCCCCATAGCTGGGACTACAGGTGTGTGCCACCATGTCTGGCTTTTTTTTTTTTTTTTTTTTAAATAGAGACAGGGTTTCACCATGTTTCACCACCAGGCTGGTCTTGAACTCCTGACCTCAGGTGATACACTTACTTCAGCCTCTCAAAGTGCTGTGCTGGGATTATAGGTGTGAGTCATCATGCCTGGCCCTTCCCATATACTTTAAATCATCTGTAGATTACTTATAATACCTAATACAATGCAAATGCTAAGTAAATAGTTGTTACACTGTATTTTTTTATTTAAAAAAAAAATCTTTTATTTTCAATCTGAGGTTGGTTGTAAAATATATATTATTGTTTTATTGTTGCATTTTGTTTGTTTGTTTGTTTGTTTGTTTGTTTTTGAGATGGAGTCTTGCTCTGTTGCCCAGGCTGGACTGCAGTGGTACCATCTTGGCTCACTGCAACCTCCACCTCCTGGGTTCAAGCGATTCTCCTGTCTCAGCCTCCTGAGTAGCTGGGACTACAGGCTCCCACCATCAAGCCTAGCTAATTTTTGTAATTTTATTAGAGACAGAGTTTCACCACATTGGCCAGGCTGGTCTTGAACTCCTGACCTTGTGATCTGACCACCTCTGCCTCCCAAAGTGCTGGGATTACAGGTGTGAGCCACCTCGCCCAGCCTATTGTTGCACCACTTTTAAAATTTTTCAATCTTTGATTGTTGTATGTTTTTGTTTGTTTTTTAAATGTTCAATTTGAGGCTGGTTGAACCCACAGATGCAGAACCGGTGGATACGGAGGATCAACTGCATGTTTACAGGCACTCACCCTGCTGGCTGCTTCTCTCTTGAACCCTGGCTACTACACCACCGATACGTATCAAACTTCTTAATTTTACTATAGCTTTCTTATTGCTTTTGTGTATTTTCTAAAGTTTACATGATGGTTATCTATGACTCGTAATTTAAAAATACGACCTGGCGTGATGGCTCATGTCTGTAATCCCAGCACTTTGGGAGGCCGAGGTGGGAGGATTACTTGAGCCCAGGAGTTGGAGACCAGCCTGGGCAACACGGTGAAACCCTATCTCTACTGAAAATACAAAAATTAGCCGGGCGTGGTGGCACACACCTGTAGTCTCAGCTACTTGAGAGGCTGAGGCAGGAGAATCACTTGAACCAGGGAGGTGGAGGTTGCAGTGAACCAAGATCGCTCCATTGCACTCCAGCCTGGGCAACAGAGCTAGACTTCACCTCAAAAAAAAAAAAAAAGGCCAGGTGTAGTGGCTCATGCCTGTAATGCCTGCACTTTGGAGGCCAAGGTAGGCACTTCACTTGAGCCCAGGAGTTTCAGACCAGCCTGGGCAATATGATGAAACCTCATCTCTACTAAAAATACAAAAATCAGCTGGGTGTGGTGTCACACACCTGTAGTCCCAGCTACTCGGTAGGCTGAAGCAGGAGAATCACTTGAACCAGGAGGCAGAGGGGTTGCAGTGAGCCGAGATGGCACCACTGGACTCTAGCCTGGGCAACAGAGCAAGCCTCTGTCCCCCCAAAAAAGAAAGCCAATAATCTGTCCTCAGTCAGACTGGATCTCCCACCCCATGACACTCAGACCCCAGGGCAGCAGCCCCACCTTCAGGCATGGTCCTGGCGCTGACATAGGCTGCCACACTGCACCGTTCCTCGGGGGTGTCTTGGTTGCAAGCCTGCAGCTCAATTCGATAGCCCGTGAAGTGTCGCAAGCCAGAGATGACCAGCGACTCTCTGTTCACCACCTTCTCGAAGGGCTTGGGCTCCTCTGGACTCATGGGCTCCATGGTCGAGGAAGTGTTGGGGAGAACTGCTACCGTGGGCTCGGCCTCCGTCATGTTCCCAGTGTCGTCAAGGGACCTGCGTCTCCGAGTCGGCCTAGAACGACAATATGCGTGATCACACCAACGCCATCGTTTTTATTTTATTATACTTGAAGTTCTGGGGTACATGTGCAGATCGTGCAGGATTGTTACATAGGTATACACATGCCATGGTGGTTTGTTGCATCCATCCCCCCGTCACCTACGTCAGGTAATTCTCCTAATGGTATCCCTCCACAATCCCCCCAACCCCTGCTATCCCTCCCATAGCTCTCCCACCCCCGCGTAACAGGTCCTGGTGTGTGATGTTCCCCTCCCTGTGTCCATGTGTTCTCATTGTTCAACACCCACTGATGAGTGAGAACATGCGGTGTTTGGTTTTCTGTTCTTGTGTCAGTTTGCTGAGGATGATGGTTTCCAGCTTCATCCGTGTCCCTGCAAAGGACATGAACTCATCCTTTTTTATGGCTGCATAGCATTCCACGGTGTATATGTGCCACATTTTCTTTATCCAGTCTATCATGCCACTGGAGAATACAAGGCTTGATTAAGAAGAACGGTCAGAGTGTAGGAGGGTGCAGTGGTGGGGAACATGGATTAAAATGCAGACTGCCAGGAATTGCCACCCAGAGCAGCTTTCGAGATGCCCTCTTGAAAGGATTAGAGCAGGCCCACCTTGTGAGGGCTGAGTGTTTCCAAGGCCGTCAATAGTAGACACACACCCACATTCCCCCTGGACATGCTTGATTTCAGGTTTTTCATTTTGCAGTACATAGGCCAGCCAGGGACAGTGGCAGAAATAAGACACCAAAAGCAAGTAAGAGTCTAGCTTTTCAGGAAGTCCTGCCAAATGGCATTTGCTCAATGGCCCAAGCTGCTGATCGACATCATCAGTTTAAACAGGAAAAATGTATCTTCTCCTTTTTATGACTGCTTAGGGCACCTGCATAACTTGAGTGATTAAGCCACAATTCTCATGAAAGGAATCACATCACTCAGTCAGGAAGGGTAACTCCAAGAAACTTCGATACAATGGGCGCACTTCTCCCTATCCCATAAAAAACTTATATTAAACAACAAATGTTGGTAGCTAACAAATATTAAAACACAAAGAAAAAAGGATAAAGAAGAAAATACTTTGTACTTTGGGAGGCTGAGGCGGGCAGATCACCTGAGATCAGGAGTTCGAGACCAGCCTGGCCAACATGGGGAAACCCTGTTTCTACTAAAAATACAAAAATTAGACGAGCGTGGTGGTGCACAGCTGTAATTCCAGCTACTTGGGAGGCTGAGGCAAGAGAATCATTTGAACCCTCGAGGCGGAGGTTGCAGTGAGCTGAGATCGTGCCACTGCACTTCCACCTGGGTTGACAGTATGAAACTCTGTCTCAAAAAAAAAAAAAAAAAAGAAAAGAAAAGAAAAGAAAAAAGAAAATGTAAATTACTCAAATTCACAGCCCACCGCTTCCTTGGACAATTTTTTTTCTGTAAATATTATGTGTGAACATGATGAGGATCAAGCCTGTTTTATAAGTAAACTTGGTTTACTTGCTGTATTGGAAGCATTTATTAAATATTTTCCTTACGACATAACATTTTAACTAGGAGAGAATTTCGGGATTTTTCCTTTTTAATAGTAGTGGTTTCCCCCATCACCTGTGCTTTCTGCAGAAAACTTGGAAAACAATGAATGACTGTAAAATATTCCACTTACTACATGAGACATCATTCAGTTAACCATCCTCCTTATTTTATTTATTTGTTTGAGATGTAGCTTCACTCTTGTTGCCCAGGCTGGAGTGCCATAGCATGATCTTGGCTCACTGCAACCTCTGTCTCCTGGGTTCAAGCAATTCTCCTGCCTCAGCCTCCTGAGTAGCTGGAATTACAGGCGTCCACCACCATACCAGGCTAATTTTTTTCTAGTTTCAGTAGAGACAGTGTTTCACCATGTTGGCCAGGCTGGTCTTGAACTCCTGACCTCAGGTGATCCACCTCAGCCTCCCAAAGTGCTGGGATTACAGGCATGAGCCACTGAGCCTGGCCGTCATTGCGTGTGTGTGTGTGCGCTGTTATGAATAGTCCTTTGATCAGTGTCTGATTATTTTCCCCAAAGTAGATAGGTAGAGGAAAATAACACTAGGTTCAAGGAGACAGGAAACTCTTTAAGCTTCTGGCCAGTTATCCAGAAACCCTATATCGACTTGTGGTCCAACCAGCAGGCCATGGAATTTCAATCCAGAACAATCTCAGCAACCCTAAGGCTTAACAGGTTTTTTTTCTGTGTTTGCTTTGTTTGTCTAGATTTTTAACCCAAGAGATTAAAAATATGTGATCACTGAACTACTTTATTTGTGGATGTTTATGTTACTGAGTGTGACTCCATTTTTCCTTTATTGATTCTCTGTTTCTCCGAAGAATTGTCCTTCTTTGTCCCTTGTCTATTTTTCCATGAATTTCTCGTGTTTTCCTTACTCCTGTGTTGTTTATTTGTTAAGGACATTAACCTTTTATGTATCGTGCTATACAACTTACTCTTTTCCATTTGCCATTAATCTTTCTGTAAATTATTCTAAGCAGGCTTTTATGTTTATCTGTACAATTTAATATATCAGTAACATTTTTAAAATTTGTTCCTTTATAAGTCATTCTAGACGGGGTTGTTAGGAGGTGTGCTAAGGTTTTACAGCAGTTTTGAAAGGGATCTTTCCCCTATTTTATCTTCTAATTATTACTTGTATATCAAACTGTCTTTTTGCTTATTTCTATTGCACCTACTTTCCCAAACTCTAACTCATTTTAAAAGTTTCATAATTGACTTTCGTGGGTTTTCAATGACACACTAGAAGAGGGGGTCAGCAAAATTTTCCCGTAAATGGCTAGATAATAAATATTTTGGGTTTTGCAAGCCAGATGACCTCTGTCACAACTACTCTGTCATTGTAGCTTAAAGCAGCCCTAGATGCTTTGTAAACAGGTGGGTGGGGTTACATTTCAATAAGAGTTCATTTACAAAAACAGGCAGCTGGCCCATGGCCATAGTTTGCCTACTCTTGAGCTAGAGGCTCTGCAAATAGCAATGACTTTATTTCCCACATTCCATTCTTTACAATTCTAATTTCTGTTTCTTGTCTTATTACGTTGGCTGGATGCCCAGAGAAATGTTAATTAGTAATGATGAGCTTGGGCTTCCTTGTTCTGTTCCTAACTCAGCTGAGAATAATTTTAAGAATGACATTAGCTTGGCTGTTGGTTTACTCTAGGTAACATTTATCCTGTAGAAGAAATACTCTCCTACTAGTTTTATGAGAGGATTCTTTTTTTCCTGCCCTTTCTTTAAGTTAGGAATTTTAAATTAATGTTATTGAAACAGCTTTGATCTTCCTTACTGCACCTCTTGATGGCATAGATGATGTAATCAGATCTTCTGATCTTAAACCATCCTTGCATTTTGGAGGTAAACAATATTGCAGTGCAGTGTTTTATTTCGGATATTTGAACCTAACATCACATATTAGCTTGGTCCGTGGCTTTTATTGAGTGCAGTATCTTTGTCAAGTTCTTTAAGGGTGTTCTGTTCATTTCATAAAATGAACTGGGATAATTTTTTCTCTCTTTTTTTTTTTTTTTTTGAGATGGAGTCTTGCTCTGTCACCCAGACTGGAGTGCAGTGGCACAATCTTGACTCACTGCAACCTGCACCTCCAGGTTCGAGTGATTCTCCCGCCTCAGCTTCCAGAGTAGCTGGGATTACAGGTGTGTCCCACAATGCCCAGCTAATTTTTGTATTTTTAGCAGAGACAGGATTTCATCATGTTGGTCAGGCTGGTCTTGAACTCCTGACCTCATGATCTGCCTGCCTCGGCCTCCCAAAACGCTGGGATTACAGGCATGAGCCACCACACCCAGCTGGGATACTTTTTATATATTTCTATGCCCTAAGATATTATAGGAAATAGTTGCTTTTTCAGAATTTGAAAGAATGTGTCTGTAACCCTCTCTGGGCTGAGGGGACTTTTTGGGGAAATTAATTGACACATACCTTTTTCCAAGGTTCATAACCGCTTAACTTTTCTGCGTCTTTTTAAATCCGTTTAGACAAGTTACATTTTCCTAGCTTACTGGAGCTTTCGAATTGAGCGTGCACAGTCGTCCAAATACCTTAACACATTAAAATGTTCTTCAGATGTTCGTTTTATGTCATCTTCTTTCCTTCTACTTTGTGTTTTCCCTTTATGTTTGCCATAGGCTTGGCTATTATTGCTTTTCCCTTCCTAATACATTTATATTTTTATAGTTTAAAGTTTATTTCTTTAGTTATCAATCCATTTAAGTATGCTAATTAACACCAAAGCCAAGCTTTGGCAATATGCTAAAAGTTAAGGTGCATGATATTCACATTTTCGTTATTTTCCAAAAGGACTTCAATGGAAGTTTCCATTTCTGCTTTGGCCAATAGATATGTAAGTGATTAACTTTTTTTTTTTTTTTTTTTTTTTCCTGAGATGGAGTCTCGCTCTGTAGCCCAGGCTGGAGCGCAGTGCTGCGATCTCGGCTTACTGTAACCTTTGCCTCCCGGGTCCTGGTTCCAGCAATTCTCCTACCTCAGCCTCCCAAGTAGCTGGGATTACAGGAACGAGACATCATGTGCAGCTAATTTTTATATTTTTTTTAAGTAGAGACAGGGTTTCACCATGTTGGCCAGTCTGGTCTTGAACTCCTGACCTCGTGATCCACCTGCCTCCGCCTCCCAAAGTGCTGGGATTATAGGCGTGAGCCACTGCACCCGGCTGTGATTAACTTTTAACCACCAAGAAGTGAAATTTTCTAATCAAACTTTTGAAATTAACGTTTAGTTTTTATTGCAATGTTGTCAGAAAACGTGTGGTCAGAAAACAAATCCTACTTTGGGGGCGTTCGTTAAGATTTTATTTGTGGTCTTCTTGTATTAAAAGACCAAGAACATTCTAAGATGGAAAAGAAAACAGCTCCACCACTTATCAAGCCAAAGATTATCCTGATTAGCAAGATTCAGATAATTTCTACATAGGCACAAATAGTTCTTGTGAAAATAACCAAGACATTGGTGCTTCATGAATAACTACTGAGAAACTGATATCTGAACAACCAGAGATGTAAAATGGGCTCATCAAACAGGCCAAATGAGTTTATATATCAAAAAGATTATGACCAAAAAGACTGTGAAGGGCGAAAGACAAAAGACAGTGCATCAACTGAGTGTTCTACTTCTTACATAGGCAGAATTTTTTGTTGTTGTTAGAGTTTTGCTCTGTCGCCCAGGCTGGAGTGCAGTGGCTTTATCTCAGCTCACTGCAACCTCCACCTTCTAGCAATTCTCCTGCCTCAGCCTCCCAAGTAGCTGGGATTACAGGCATGCATCACCATGCCTGGCTGATTTTTGTAGTTTTAGTAGAGATGGGGTTTTGCCATGTTGGCCAGGCTGGTTTCGAACTCCTGACCTTTGGTGATCCACCTGCCTTGGCCTCCTAAAGTGCTAGGATGACGGGCATGAGCCACCGTGCCCATTCTAGGCAGCATTTGATGATCCAACTGAACTGGTGGGCCCAACCAAGGGTCCTTCTGCCCCCCATCCCTCGGGGATATTTAGCAATGTCTAAAGATATTTTTGGTTATTACAACTTTGGGAGGCAGATACTGGCATCAGATTAGTGGAAGCCAGAGATTCTGTCCTGTGTTGTTGGATAGTGCCCAGGAAAGTTTCCATGCCCTAGAATAATCTGACCCCAAATATTATTTCTTATTTTTTTTTTAGACAGAGTGTCACTCTGTCACCCACGCTGGAGTGCAGTGGCGAGATCTGGGCTCATTGCAACCTCCGCCTCCAGGGTTCAAGCGATTCTCCTGCCTCAGCCTCCCAAGTAGCTGGGACTACAGGCATGTAGTATGAGGCTTGGCTAATTTTTGTATTTTTTTGTAGAAACGGGGTTTTGCCATCTTGGTCAGGCTGGTCTCAAACTCCTGGCCTCAAGTAATTGCCCCGCCCCGGCCTCCCAAAATGATGGGATTACAGGCGTGAGCCACCATGTCCAGCCTTGGCCCCAAATACTATTAATAGCAGGACTAAGCTTGAGATCCGCTTTGGACCAAGCCCAGACATTTTTAGACCCTTCTTGGCTACAGATAGTACTGCAAAGGGCCACTAGAGGTCAGATCAGGCCACACAGCAAACTGCTAAAAGAAGAAAATTCCTTGGCCAGGACACCGTGGCCCACGCCCGTAATTCCAGCACTTTGGGAAGCCAAGGCGGGCAGATCACCTGAGGTTGGGAGTTGGGAGACCAGCCTGACCAACATGGTGAAAACCCGTCATGACTAAAAATACAAAATTTATCCGGGCGTGGTGGCACACGCCTGTAATCTCAGCTACTCCGGAGGCTGAGGCAGGAGAATCATTTGAACTTGGGAGGCAGAGGTTGCAGTGAGCTGAGACTGTGCCATTGCACTCACTCCAGCCCAGGTGACAAGAACAAAACTCCGTCTCAATAAAAAAATAAAAAATAGAAATCCCTCAAAGTGGTCCCAAACTGACTTTCTAGTCTCACCTCCTGTTTCTCCCAAAATCTCATCTCCTTGCCTTTCTCTCTCTCCCAGGACCCCACTTCTTTTTTCTCTTAGGATGCAAGTTGAAAGGAAACGTCCCTGACTCTCCTCCGTGGAATTCAGTGAGTGACACGTGTTCTTGTGTTCACAGTGCATCACCCTTTCAGGAAAATGTTTTATTTCCAGATCAACTTCCCACCATGGGGTAGGAGCTGCTGGGTCAGGGCATCCAGCTGCGGGGAGCTCAGATCCCGGGGACCCCGACCCAGTTCTGTAGACACACGCAGGAGGTGCAAAGAGACGTTTAGTGAGCAAAGGGTGGCTGCTAACAGAGGGCAGAGAGGGGGTGTCCAGGAAGTCCTCCCGTGATTCTAGGTTTCAGCAAGAGTGTGTTAGCGAAGATTCCCCTCTCCCCCACATTCATGCCCCAATTTCATTTCAGAGTGAAGGCACTCGATTTCTGAATTTGTGAAGCATCTGCTCTCCAGCCCAGCAACCCACCACATGCAAAAAGCCACAGAAGCCCCTGGAATCTCCGAGGCATCTGCCTGGCACGCTGCCACCCTGCACCAAGCAGACAAGGGGTCACATGGGTGAGCCATACCTAGAGTTCTCCGCACCAGGGCCTGGAGAGGTTCTTCTGTGGAAATAAAACCAACTGCTTTGAGGACAGAGGGAGCTTATGAGACAGACCACTGGGCTTTGACACTCAGAGGCACATCGCGCCCAAGTAAGGGCAGCCTGGTTTTGACCCGGGGCCCACTGGCTTCCATCACTTGCTGGAGGGAGGGAGCTACATATTCCCCAGCAGGTGCCTGGATCCAGCAAGGGAAGGGGAAGAAAGCAGAGAAGATTCTCCCCAGGGACAGCCTGGGGAGGTGGCCCTGGGATGGCAAATGTAACTGTGTAGACACAACTGACTCAACACTTCTCCAAGTCTGCCAGTCTTCCTTCTCTTTTTCTTTCTTTCTCCTTTATTTCCTTCCTTCTCTTTTCTTCCCTTTTTCTTTCCTTTCTTTCTCTCCCTCGCTCCCCTTCTTTCTTTCCCTCATTTTCCTTCTTTCCATCTTTTTTGTCTCCTCCTCTCCTTCCTTTCTCTTTCTTTCTTCCTCTTTCCTTCTCTCCTTTATTTTCTCTTTCCTTCTTGTCTTCTCCCTCTTCCTTCTCTCCTTCTTCTTTTCTTTCTCTTCTCTCTGTCTCTCTACCCTTTCCTCCCTCCTTTCCTTGTTTTCTTTCCTTTCTTTCTTTTTTAATTTCTTGCTTTATTTTCTTTTTGAGGGTTTTGCTCTGTGCAGTGGCACCATCACAGCTCATTGTAGCCTTGATCTCCTGGCCTCAAGTGATCCTTCTGCCTCAGCCTCCCCATGTGCTAGGAATTCAGGCATACACCATCATGCCTGGCTAATTTTTAAATTGTTTTTTGTAGAGATGGATTCTCATTATGTTGCCCAGGTTGGCCTCAAGCAACCCTACCACCTTGGCTTCCCAGATAGCTGGGACCACAGGCTTATACTACTGCAGCCAGCTAAAGCCTCAATCATCATGGCCAGGCATGGTAGCTCATACCTGTAATCCCAGCAGTTTGGGAAGCCAAGGCAGGTGGATCACATGAGGTCAGGAGTTCGAGACCAGCCTGGCCAACATGAGAAAACCCCGTCTCTACTAAAAATATAAAAATCAGCCAGGCGTGGTGGCAGGCACCTGTAATCCCAGCTACTTGGAAGGCTGAGGCACGAGAATAACTTGAACCCAGGAGGCAGAGGTTGTGGTGAGTCGAAATTGCACCACTGCACTCCAGCCTGGGTGACAGAGTGAGACTCTGGCAAAAAAAAAAAAGCCTTAACCATCTAATGGAGAACTCAGACCAGCTCAGGAGAGGTAAGAAAGGCAAATGCTGAGTTTTGTCCATTTTTCCCCTTGTGTGTGATTATTTGCTCTTCCTAATAAAATTCTCCTGGAAATAGCAAGATCTCGTCTTCCACCCAGGAAAGGGCTCCATTCAGACTCCACCCACCCTTCTGTGCCTCTGGGTCCCTTACTTAAGGGACTGTCCACCAACACCAAGCCAACTGACACCTGCTAAGGGAGCCCAGCGCCATGCCCAGTCCTGACCTGGGGATGAAAACCACATTGTGCAGGTAATCCTCAAACGTCTTCCTAAACGAGGACTCCTCCAGCTCCTTCTGGATCTGAGAGTCTGTCTTCGGACAGGAGCAACACTCGCCAGCCAAATCCTCCTCTTCACTCTGGTTGTGCTTCTGAAAACCTTCAGACTCAACTGGTGGAGACCAGGTCCTCGAGGGCAACTTCAACCCTGGAGAAAGAAACAGAAAAGGGGGTTCAGGTCTCTGTGGCTGAAAACACACACACACAGTGCTATATATTTCACACACATACTACACCACACACACATACACACAACAGCACATACCAACTACACACACCACACATCACACATACCACACACATACACCACACGTCCATGCCACAGACCACACACACCACAAACACACCACACATACCCTGCATACACCACACACACACCACATACACTATACACCACACACTATACCACACACACAAGTCACACACCACACACACACACACACCAGCACATACCAACTACACACACCACACATCACACATACCACACACATACACCACATGTCCATGCCACAGACCACACACACCACACACACCCTGCATACACCACACACACTACACACCACACACAACACAAATCACACACACCACACACACACACCACACACACCCATGCCACAGACCACACACACCACAAACACCATACACACAAACCACATACACCATGTACACTACACACCACACACACACCACATATATCAAAACACCAACACCACACACCACACACACACAACACACACACACACCACATACATACACATATCACACCACATACATACACACATCACACCACACATACACACCACACACAACACACACACACACACACACACACACACACACGCACACCACACATCACATACACACAGTGAAGGGGGCCTTCCCCGAGAGGCTGAGCTGAGACAGAGCCTAGATTCAAGTTCTGCTTTGAATCTAGACACTATGGCTCACACCTGTGGTCCCAGCAACTTGGGAGGCTGAGGTGGAAGGATCGCCTGAGCCCAAGAGGTTGAGGTTGCAGTGAGCCATGATTGTGCCCCTACACTTCAGCCTGGGTGACCAAATAGGACCCTGTCTCAAAAGATTAAAGAGATGGCCAAGTGGGGCCGGGAGCGGTGGTTCACGTCTATAATCCCAGCACTTTGGGAGGCTGAGGTGGGCAGATCACGAGGTCAGGAGATCGAGACCATCCTGGTCAATATGGTGAAACCCCCTCTCTACTAAAAAATACAAAAAAATTAGCTGGGCATGGTAGCACATGCCTGTAGTCCCAGCTACTCAGGAGGCTGAGGCAGGAGAACTGCTTGAATCTAGGAGGTGGAGATTGCAGCGAGGCGAGATCACCCCACTGCACTACAGCCAGGGTGACAGTGCGAGATTCTGTTTCAAAAAAAAAAAAATATGGCCAAGCACAGTGGCTCACGCCTGTAATCCTGGCTAGGGCATCCTCCTGCAGCATGGAATGGATAGAGGCCAGGGATACTGCTCAGCACCCCAAGGCGCCCAGGACAGTCCCAGTCCCACCCCAGAAAGTGATCCAATGCCAGATATCAAAAATGCCAAGGTAGAGAAACCCTGAGCTAAGGGCATGAGAGGAAATAGAGGAAAAAATGTTTCAAATATGCATAGAAAAGGGAATTTAAAAATTCATATATGAAGAAGAACACCATTAGCTTATAAAGGTAGCAGCCCTAAGAATGCAATTTTTTTCTCTCTTTTTTTTTTTTATGAGATGGGGTCTCGCTCTGTCATCCAGGCTGCAGTGCAGTGGTGCAGTCTTGGCTCGCCATGGCCTCCACCTCCTGGGCTGGAGCGATTCTCCTGCCTCAGCTCTCCCAAGTAGCTGGGATTACAGGCATGAGCCACCATCCCTGGCTTTTTTTTTTAATTTTATTTTTATTTTTAGTAGAGACAGGGTTTCACCATGTTGGCCAGGCTGATCTCAAACTCTTGACCTCAGGTGATCCACTTGCCTTGGCCTCCCAAAGTGCTGGGATTACAGGCGTGAGCCACTGCCCCCAGCCAATTTCTGTATTTTTTTGATAGAGACAGAGTTTTCCCATGTCACTCAGGCTGATCTCAAACTCCTGAGCTCAAGCAATCTGCTCTCCTTGGCCTCCCAAAGTGCTGGGATTACAGGTGTGAGCCACCAAGCCAGCCTACAATCCTTAAGTACCGTAGCTGGTCATGTCTTAACCCCTGAAGTTAGATTTCAAAGGTTCTTGTGATCCCTGGTGCATGCACAATTATACCTCTGCTACAGCCACGAAGACAGACACAGCTCTTTACAAGCAAAATCCACTACAGTCCCTGGAGATTCACCTTCCCTGCTGCCAGCCCGCCTGGTGCCTGGTGACTGCTGAGTACAGGAAATTCCATTTTTTTCTCCCCTTAATGCCTCAAGTGTAGACAATAAGCTCTAAATCATGTATCAAGTACTTTCTCATGAATGGTGAGTATCAACTCGGAAACCCAAGTATTTATACAGCTTTAAAAGCCTAAGAGAGACCGGAGAATACTTCTTATGTTTATAAATAGACATAGAATAACCTGCGTGGGTTAACTCTGATGGGAGCTAGTTACAGCATTCCAGATGGAAGAAAAATGCAGGGCTCCTTTTTTTTTTATGATTGTTAATATTTTTTGAGCCAGAGTCTCGCTCTGTCACCCAGGCTGGAGTGCCGTGGCATGATTTCGGCTCACTGTAACCTCCACCTCCTAGGTTTAAGCTATTCTCCCGCGTCAGCCTTTCGAGTAGCTGGGATTATAGGTGTGTGCCCCCACGCCCAGCTAATTTTTTGTATTTGTAGTACAGATGGGGTTTCATCATGTTGGCCAGTCTCGAATTCGTGACCTTATGATTCACCCACCCTGGCCTCCCAAAGTGCTGGGACTACAGGCAGGCAGGAGCCAACACACCCGGACTTTTTTTTTTTTTGAGACAGAGTCTTACTGTCTCTTAGGCTGGAGCACAGTGGCGCGATCTCGGCTCACAGCAACCTCCACCTCCTGAATTCAAGCGATTCTCCCGCCTCAGCCTCCCCAGTAGCTGGGATTATAGGCACCTACCACCACGCTCAGCTAATTTTTGTATTTTTTCTAGAGACAGGGTTTCACCATGTTGTCCAGGCTGGTCTTGAACTCCTGGCCTCAAAGTGATCCACCCACCTCAGCCTCCCAATGTGCTGGGATTACAGGAGTGGGCCTCTGTGCCCAGCAAATCTCTCCCATTTTAAGCGCACAGTTCTGTGCTTAAAATTCCTTCATAACGTTGTTCAATCATCACCACCTTCCTCTCCGGAACTTTCTCATCTTCCCAAACTGAAACTCTGCCCCCAACCCGTCCACTCCCCAGCCCCTGGCACCCCGCATTCTACTTTCTGTCTCTATGAATCTGAGGACTCTAGGGACCGCCTAGGCATGAAATCACACAGAATTTGTCCTGAGTGACTTTACTTTTAATGATATTAACTTTATGACATTTACGAATAAAACCATGTTGAAATGGTCTCATGGTAATTAGAGGTTTAGACTTTCAGAATTAAAAAAAAGAGAGAGAGAGAGAAAGCTTTGACTGACGTGGCTGGTGGCAGCTCTCACGGATAATTCTGGTTACCTGGACGCAGGGCCAACAGCTTACGGCGGAGCTGATGACTGGACTCGCCCTGGAGTTATATAAAGCATCGGAGGAGATAAATCACGTTTGCAGCCCTCAGCTCGGGTGGGGATGATGTCACACACATACATATAGCACATGAACTTAGAGCTGGGACAGCTCCCAGAGGTCATCTGTCCTCCCGCCCCTTCTCCCAAAAAAAGGAGGCAGACAGTGACTTGATCAGGAACTTGGCAAAAGCATTTCAGCAGGTCAGGGCCAGAGCCAAGAGCTCCCGGCCTCAACCACATCTCACCAGAGGCCCCCTGGCCTTCCCCTCCAGGGTCATGGACTGAGGCTATCACGAACCAAAAATATCTCAAGAAAAAGGCGTCAAGACACACAAGGAAACCAAAAGTAAAGAAAGAAATGGGCCCAGTGCAGTGGCTCATGCTTGTAATAGCAGAATGTTAGCAGGCTGAGGCCGGAGGATCGCTTGCAGTCAGGAGTTTGAGACCAGCCTGGGAAGTATATCAAGAGCCCCACTGCCAAAAAATTATTTTGGGCCGGGTGTGGTTGTTCATGCCTGTAACCCCAGCACTTTGAGAGGCCAAGGTGGGCTGATCAACTGAGGTTGGGAGTTCAAGACCATTCTGACCAACATGGAGAAATCCCATCTCTGCTAACAATACAGGATTAGCGGGGCGTGGTGACACACATCTGTAATCCCAGCTACTTGGGAGGCTGAAGCAGGAGAATCGCTTAAACCCCGGAGGTGGAGGTTTCAGCAAGGTGAGATTGCGACATTGCACTCCAGCCTGGGCGACAAGGGCAAAACTCTGCCTCAAAAAAATAAATAAGAAATAAATAGATAAAAACATGTACGTATGTTTTCATAGGAGACACGACAGAGTATGTGTTCACGTGCAAACCCCACTGATCTCAGCGTGGCTGCCTGCACTTACCTTTGAGGCAATAATCCAACTCGAACAGCTCACTGTCTTCCACCTGCTTCTGCCAGAAAACCAGGTAGTGGGTGATGTTGCCATTGGGGTCCGTGGGGGGTTTCCACTTCAAAATAATCTGGGATGATGAGTTAGACACTGAGATTGGATCCAGTGGCACGGACGGGTCTGCCAAGGAGAAAGGAAATGGGTCAACCATGAGAAAGCATGTGCAAAAAAAGCTGGGGGGGGCAGGACGCGGGAGGAGGGGGGGCGGGACACACCAGTTAAAGACATCAGGAGGATGTTTGCTGCAGTGTTTTGTTGGTTTTTTTTTGTTGTTGTTTTGTTTTGTTTTTTTTAGACGGAGTCTCCTCTGTTGCCCGGGCTGGAGTGCAGTGCCATGATCTTGGCTCACTGCAACCTCTGCCTCCCGGGTTCAAGTGATTCTCCTGCCTCAACCTCCCGAGTAGCTGGGATTACAGGTGTGTACCACCAGGCCTGGCTAATTTTTGTCTTTTTAGTAGAGACAGGGTTTCACCATGTTGACCAGGCTGGTCTCGAACTCCTGACCTCAAGTGATCTTCCCCCCCCTCAGCCTCCCAAAGTGAAGTAATCATAGCTTACCGCAGACTCCTGGGCTCAAGAGATCTTCCCGCACGGGGCTGCTGAGTAACTGGGAATATAGGTGTACACCACCATTTTTTAAAAAAATTCTTGGAGAGATAGGATCTTGCTCTGTTGTCCAGCTGGTCTCAAACTCCTGGCCTCCAGTGATCCTCCCACCTTGGCCTCCCAATGTGCTGGGATTACAGACATGAGAGCCAAGCCTGGCCGACATTTTCATTCAAAGTGTGGGCCACCGCATCCGGCTGCTGCAGTGTTATTTAACATCGGTGAAAACTGGAGACACACAGGAAATCCTCACCCAATCAGTGCACGGGCTACCAAGCTATAGCCCATTCACATCACAGACTACATGAGCATTCCTGTATCCATTTCTGCAACAAACATCAGTGGGCTCTGACTATGCACTAAGCCCCTGTTCTGGGAACCAGGTAGATGCTGCTTGGGAAAGAGAGGATAGTGGAAAGAGACCAATAAACTCACGTTTTCCGATTAACATCTGTTCCTAATTAAACCGAGTCATGGGGCAGACGTGAAGCCATTGGATCATGTCATTGAGCTGGTATTCACTCTATAAAACCTTCCCGTCAAGAACGGAGGTGGCTGGCTCAGTGGCTCAGACTATAATCCCAGGACTTTGGGAGGCTGAGAAGGGAGGATTGATTGAGCTTAGGAGTTTGAGGCCAGCCTCTGCAGCATAGCAAGACCCTGTCTCTATTACTAAAAAATCATAAAAATCAGCCAGGCATGGGGAAGCACGCCTGTGGTCCCAGCCACTCGGGAGGCTAAGATGGGAGGATCACTTGAACTCAGGAGGTTGATGCTGTAGTGAGCTGCGATCGCACGACTGTACTCCAGCCTGGGCAACAGGGCAAGATCCTTTCTCAAAACAAACAAAAAAAGTACAAAAAAACACAACCAAACAAACAAATGAATCTCCAAAACCCAAAGTAATGGAGGTGGCTGAGAGAGCTGGGGATGGAGAAGGGGTCAAAACACCTGGGAGCTGGACGTTTCTGAAAACTCCAAGTCTTTTGGTGTCACTAAAGGATGCAGGATGAGAGGGGACTAAGTGAAGAAGATAGGACTGATGGCTGGGCATGGTGGCTCACGCCTGTAATTCCAGCACTTTAGGAGGCCAAGGCGGGTGGACCTCCTGAGGTCAGGAGTTCAAGACCAGCCTGGCCAACATGGTGAAACCCCGTCTCTACTAAAAACATAAAAATCAGCCGGGTGTGGTGGCGCATGCCTGTAATCCCAGCTACTTGGGAGGCTGAGGCTGGAGAATCGCTTGAACCCAGGAGGTAGAGGTTGCAGTGAGCCAAGAATGCACCCTTGAACTCTGGTCTGGGTGACAACAGTGAAACTCCATTTCAAAAAGAAAAAAGTTTGAATTTGAGCCTATAGGACAGGGTTTGTCACCTTCGGCCCTATTGGCTTTTAGGGCTGGATAATTCTTTGTCATGAGGGAGGGTACATCCAGTGTGATGTAGGACATGGAGCAGCCTCTCTGGCTTCCACCCTCAAAATGCCAGTGGTTTCATTCCCACAGCTGTGACAACCAAAGATGTCTCCTGATATCGACTGGCAACTGTTCCCTGGGAGAGCAGTCACCCCCATTTGGGAACTACTGCTATAACAGAAGGACTTAGGTTTCAGAAAAATATAATTAGAACAGGCCCAGTGGCTTGCGCCTGCAATCCCAGCACTTTGGGAGGTCAAGGTGGGTGGATCACTTGAGGTCAAGAGTTCGAGAGCCAACATGGTAAAGCCCCATCGCTATTAAAAATACAAAAATGGCCGGGCACGGTGGCTCACGCCTGTAATCCCAGCACTTTGGGAGGCCGAGGCGGGTGTATCACCTGAGGTCGGGAGTTCAAGATCAGCCTGACCAACATGGAGAAACCCTGTCTCTACTTAAAAAAAAAAAAAAAAAAAAAAAAAAGCAAAATTAGCTGGGTGTAGTGGCACATGCCTGTAATCCCAACTACTCGGGAGGCTGAGGCAGGAGAATCACTTGAACCCGGGAGGCGGAGGTTGCGGTGAGCCGAGATCACGCCCTCCCACTCCAGCCTGGGCAACAAGAGTGAAAATCCATCTAAAAAAAAAAAAAAGCGAACAACCATATCAAGGATCATTTTAAACAACCTCATTGTGTCAGCCTCTTAAAAGCAAGAGGTCCGATTCACATACAAATTCACATTCCCAAGACACACTCACTGGTGGCAGCTGTCTGGACATAAATGATGTCACTCTTGGCCCCATAGGTCCGGCGTTCATCAGAAAAGGTGACCAGGGTCTTCACAAAGATAGCATACTGGGTCCAGGGCTTGAGATTCCGCATCAGCCATCCTGGGTGGCTCTGTGATGTGGGGTCACTGGACCTCTGGGGCGGGTCAATGTCTACCACCGTCCAACTGTTGGAACCACAAGCATCCTGCCCGTCGAACTCCGTCACATTCTGATAAGGGCTTTCCAGACAAAACAGCAGAAGGTGGTTACCCTGACAAGACCATCACACTGAATGCAGTGCAGATGCGGCCCGGGAAGTCACATCCCATAGAGTCACATCCTATTCACCCAACAATCTTACGCCACTGGAAAAAAATAACTCGGGAACAGCCAAAGAGAAAGGAACCCCCAAATCTGACATCTCAATGATGAAACACAGCTTGGGCATCTCTCGTTCAAAATACTTGGGACTTGGCCAGGCACGGAGGTGGCTCATGCCTGTAATCCCAACACTTTGGGAGTTCCAGGTGGGTGGATCACTGGAGGTAAGGCGTTCGAGAACTGCCTGGCCAACATGGTGAAAACCCTGTCTCTACTAAAAATACAAAAATTATCCGGGTGTGGTGGCACAAGCCTGTAATCCCAGCTACTTGGGAGGCTGAGGCAGGAGAATCGCTTGAACCTGGGAGGCAGAGGTTGCAACAAACTGAGATCGCACTACTGCACTCCAGCCTGGGCGACAAAGGGAGACTGTTTCTAAATAAATAAATAAATAAATGCTTAGGACCAGAAGTCTTTTTGTTTGTTTATTTGTTTGTTTGTTTGTTTGTTTTGAGACAGAGTCTCGCTCTGTCACCCAGGCTGGAGTGTCCTGGGGCTATCTGGACTCACTGCAACCTCCGCCTCCTGGGTTCAAGCAATTCTCCTGCCTCAGCCTCCCGAGTAGCTGGGATTATAGGCATACGCCACCATGCCTGGCTAAGAAGTGTTTTGGATTATGGATATTTTGGGGTTTTGAAATATTGGCATTTTGCCAGTTCATTTGCATTGTACTGGTTTAGCATCTCCGATCTAAAAACCTGAATTCTGAAATGCTCCAATGAGCATCTCCTTCAAGCTTCAAGTTGGCCCTCAAAAAGCTTTGGATTTTGAAGCATTACAGATTTCAGATTTTCAGATTAGGGATAGTAAACCTGTAATAATAGTAATAGCAGGAACTGCCTCACAAGTTATTGATAAGATTACATGAGAGACTGTGTGTAAGTTCTCAGCAAGGCACCAGGTACATCTTGAGAGCTAGAACTATTATTATTATTGTTATTTGAGAAGGAGTCTCATTCTGTTGCCCAAGCTGGAGTGCAGTGATGTGACCTCACACCCAGCTAATTTTTGTGCCACCACACCCAGCTAATTTTTTTATTTTTAGTAGAGACAGGATGTCACCATGTTGGCCAGGATGGTCTTGATCTGTTGACTTCGTGATCCGCCCACCTCAGCCTCCCAAAATGCTGAGATTACAGGCATGAGCCACTGCACTCGGCAGAACTATTATATATACATATAAATATATCTATAAACATATATATAAATATATTTATATAATATATATGTTTATATATACACATACACACATATATATACACACACACATATATACATACACATACACACACACACATATGTATATATATACACACACAGAGAGAGAGAGAGAGAGAGAGAGAGAGAGAGACAGAGTTTCGCTCTTTGTTCCCCAGGCTGGACTGCAGTAGCCCGATCTTGGCTCACCACAACTTCCACCTCCCGGGTTCTAGCAATTCTCCTGTCTCAGCCTCCCGAGTAGCTGGGATTACAGGCGCCCACGAGCATGCCTGGATAATTTTTGTATTTTTAGTAGAGATGGGGTTTCACCATGTTGACCACGCTGGTCTCGAACTCCTGACCTCAGGTGATCTGCCCGCCTCGGCCTCCTAAAGTGCTGGGATTATAGGTGAGAGCCACCATGCCTGGCCAGAACTATTATTAACATTACTACTGGCTAGCTGTGGTGGCTCATGCCTGTAATCTCAGCACTTTGGGGGGCCAAGGTGGGAGGATCACCTGAAGTCAGGAGTTTGAGACCAGCCTGGTCAAAATGGCAAAACCTGTCACTACCAAAAATACACAAATTAGCCGGTTGTGATGATGCACACCCCTAATCCCAGCTACTCAAGAGACTGAGGCAGGAGAATTGCTTGAACCCGGAAGGCGGAGGCTGCAGTAAGCCACTGCACACCAGCCTGGGCAACAGAACAAGACTCTGTCTCAGAAAAAAAAAGAAAGAAAGGAAGAACGAAAAATAGATAAGCAATACATTTGATAACATCCACTCAGTAGGCTGAGCTCCTGGCTACTAAGGATGTCTGATGAGACATATACAGGAAAGGCACGGTGGAATAGTACCCTAGAAATACTGTCTGGGTTTCTACAGGAAAGCTATCAACTTCCATTTCAGGCATTTGATAAAAGCGGATGCCATTAACTTTGAGTACCATCGACTGGTGAGATTGTGAAAAGGACCCTAAGATATTCATTCCAGGAGGAGGGGGCTAGAGAGGAACCTGAGAGGGACAGATCTGAGCACAAACGTAGCAAGCACAGAGCTAGCTGGCCCTCGCCTCCGCAGGGTCTAACTCTTCTACTTACGCTTCTTTGTAGAACAGCATGAACCCCAAGAGATCTCGGAAGTCGGGGGGCCAGTACGGCTCCCATTTCAGCAAGATCTTGTCAGAACTTGTCCGAATGGAAGAAAATTTAATTAATTCATTTTCACCTGGAAAATTTAAAACAAGAGGCAAAAGCCAGCTATTTCAGTATCATTTCAGACCAAAGGATGTGACCCCACACTTCCTGGAGGGTCTGTGAGAAGGGAGAGGTCAGTCTGCTATTCCTTATGGGTCTCCTTCCCATGTGCCTTGCTAAGTGTGAATCCGGGGTGATTCAAAGGCAAGAACCAGTTTTGCAACTTGGTCGTTCACGTAAAGCCAATTACTTGGCCAGATACTCAACTGAGTAAGAGCAATCTGTGGCCACGCAAGGACATCTGGCCAATAGTTACTGGGAGAAGGGATTTTCAAGGGTGATTTTTTTTGTTTTTGTTTTTGTTTTTTGAGACAGTCTTGCTCTGTCACCCAGGCTGGAGTGCAGTGGCGCAATCTTGGCTCACTGCAACCTCCTCCTGGGTTCAAGTAATTCTGTCTCACTTCAGCCTCCAGAGTAGCCGGGATTACAGGCACATACCACTAGGCCCAGCTAATTATTTTTGTATTTTTAGTAGAGACAGGGTTTTGCCATGCTGGCCAGGCTGGTCTTGAACTGAATGTTGCCTTGCATATTTCCTTGAAAGAATGACATGGAAGGAGATGCAACTCCAGTGCAAATCAACCCACACCGAGTGAGTTTAGAGAGTCTGCAGATCATTACACACTGGAGAGACGCATCTAAGTCATTCTCTCTGCCTAGAAGGCAAACCCACTCCTAAACCTCACTCCAGCCTTGTTCTCTCTCTTTGCACTACAATTTTTTTTTTTTTTTTTTGGAGAGAGAGTCTTATTCTATTGCCAGGGCTGGAGTGCAGTGGCACGATCTCTGCTCACTACAACCTTCGCCTCCTGGGTTTAAGCAATTCTCCTGCCTCACCCTCTCAAGTAGCTGGGATTACAGGTGCTCATCACTACGCCCAGCTAGGTTTTGTGTTTTTTTTTTTAGTAGAGATGGGGTTTCATTCGCCATGTTGGCCAGGCTGGTCTCGAACTCCTGACCTCAAGTGATCTGTCTCTGCCTCCCAAAGTGCTAGGATTACAAGCATAAGCCACTCCACCTGGCCCTCGCACTAGATTTTGACATAAGGAATTAACTTCTCATGAAGGTGTCACAGAAGCCCCTGGCAGCTCACTGCTCAGAATCTATCAGGGGCGTGCAGTCAGCAGGCAGCCTGCAGCTGCAGAAGCTTCAGGACACGCTATAGCATCCCAGCCAAGACCTGACTCCCTGGGCAGCCCCCACCTATGACTGAGCTTGGTGGATGCCTGGCTGTCCCTTTGCAATGCAGAACTCTGCAGACAACCACGGCCTTGAGCTCTTTCTGGGTTTGTCCAAGACTCAGGGGTGCACCACTGTCTGAAGCTCTCCCAGTCCTATCCTCCTTCCTTCCCTCTGTTTACAGGGGTCAGACCCATGCTGTTGTCAAAAGGCTCTTCCTGGCTGGGCGTGGTGGTTCATGCCAGTAATCCCAGCACTTTGGGGGGGCTGAGATTGAATGGATTACCTGAGGTCAGGAGTTCGAGACCAGCCTGGCCAACATGGCAAAACCCCGTTTCTACTAAAAATACAAAAAAATTAGCTGGGCATGGTGGCATGTTCTTGTAATCCCAGCTACTCTGAAGGCTGAGACAAGACCATTATTTGAACCCAGGAGGAGCAGGTTGCAGTGAGCCAAGATCATGCCACTGCACTCCAGCCTGGGTGACAGAGCAAGAATCTATCTCAAAAAAAGTCTTCCTCTCTTTCATATTTAATGGGTATCACCTCAGTATATTTTCTGCATTTCTAACTTCAACTTGGCAGTTACTTCCCAGGAGATGCAGACTGATAGGTATTTTACTCAACTGTTAACTCTTCAGTGTTGGCCTGATACACATAGAAAGTGTTATTGGCTGGGCGCAGTGGCTCATGCCTGTAATCCCAGCTCTTTGAGAGGCCGAGGTGGGTGGATCACAAGGTCAGGAGTTTGACCAGCCTGACCAACATGATGAAACCCTGTCTTTATTAAAAACATAAAAAATTAGCCAGGTGTGGTGCTGCGCACCTGTAATCCCAGCTACTCAGGAGGCTGAGGCAGGAGAATTACTTGAACCTGGGAGGCGGAGGTTGTAGTGAGCCGAGATTGCTCCACTACACTCCAGCCTGAAAGACAGAGCGAGACTCCATCTCAAAAAAAAAAAATTATAATAGGAATAAAGCACACAATAAATGTGCACTTGAATCATGCAGAAACCATCCCCGCCCCCACCCCCATTCCCAGGCTGTGGAAACATTGCCTTCCACTAAGCAGGTCACTGGTGCCAAAAAGGTTGCAGACCACCGACTTACAGGATGCTTGGTCCCCATTGGTCTTTAAGGCAATGTCATTCTTCTCCTGGCGCCCCTTGGTTCCTGAAATTTCTTCCATCTTGTGGATTTCTGACAAGCAGAGTTTGGGGTTATAGTGGAAGAAGAGTTTCCCCTGAGTGATGGTGAGGTTGTGTTTGCTCCAGTCCCAGAGCTGCCTTAGGTTCTGATTGTCCAAGGCATAAAAGGAGTAGTTCCTGTGGAAATAACACACATCTGGTCATTCCACGGCTGGTCTTCTACAACTCCAAGAGGGTGTGGCTATGCCTGGAGTTGATGTTGTTTGGTGCTACACCCCTAATCCTACCCACTTGCTTGGCACATACTCAATACATATTTGTCGAATGGGGATAACGGGAAGTCGAGGAAGTTTTCATGGCCAGGAAGGAGGCTCCACTCAGTCATGAAGGGTGGTGGTGAGTCTGTGATGGACTGTGACACAGGTTTTACAGAAACCTATTTCTGCAAATAGGGGAAATATGGATGACACAGAGGCACCTAAGCTGAGCTCAGGGAAGAGCAAAGTAGCCTATTTTGGCCAGTAGGTGACAAGAAATAGCTGGAGTTGTAACGGACCAGACCTTCTAGTGTACTACATGCCAGAGCAGGACCAAGAACATGTGACCAATCCTCAATAAGCAGAAAGGAGCCATTGAAGGGTTTTCTTTGTTTTTTGTTTTCAGAGAGAATCTCACTCTGTCTCCCAGGCTAGAGTGCAGACAATATAGTCTAAACTCTATTGTTTAGACCACCTTCTCGAATCACTTACCAGCTCACATTGATTAGCATGTCCTTTTGTCCCTTTCCCCATTTGCTGTCCATTCTACAGATGTGAGGCTGGGGCTGAGGCAGCCATCTTGTGACCATGAAGAGCACAAAGATGGAAAGAACCTGGATTTTCCCCGGACCTCCTGCCTGTGAGTCAATCTTGATCTGCGTGAAGCATAGCTCATCTGAATTTCTGCTGTTTCAGACAAGCTGTGCTTCACACAGCTCCAGATTGACTCTAACTAAAACAGTTTCTAGGACCTCAAGGAGAAGTTGGAATGTATTGGAATATACTGAGATGGAGTCCATCCCAGAAATCAGGACGGACAATTGGGACTGGGACTAAAGCTCCATTTTATGCACGTTAAACTCTACTCACAATGTCGCCCAGATAGCCCAATGACCTACTTAGCAAAAATTCCAGCCTGCACCCTTGGAGGGTGGGCACCCCGGGGGCTGCTCCCACTTTTCTCAAGAATGACCATGAAACAGCTTTTACAAATTTTGGCTGGACGGGCCTTTAGCACATTCCAAGCTTTTTTCTGCTGAGGTTTTGCTGGATAGATTTCTGTTTGTTTTTTTAAAAAAAATCTCTAAGTTTTTTTTTTTTTTTTTTTTGAGACAGAGTCTTACTCTGTCACCCAGGCTGGAGTGCAGTGGTGCGATCTCGGCTCACTGCAACTGCTGCTTCCCGGGTTCAAACGATTCTTCTGCCTCAGCCTCCCGAGTAGCTGGGATTACAGGCATTCACCACCATGCCCGGCTAATTTTTGTATTTTTAATAGGGACAGAGTTTCACCATGTTGGCCAGGCTGGTCTCGAACTCCTGGCCTCAAGTGATCTGCCCACATCAGCCTCCCAAAGTGCTGGGATTACAGGCATAAGCCACTGCGCCTGGCTGAAAGCATCCTTAAGTTTTTCTAATGCACAAACTTCCTAGTTAGCGCTCAGGCCATACACACAATAGGGCCCATGTACCCGGCTTCCAAGGTCTCTCCTCGAATCAGACGCAACTTCCGAAAGAAGGCAAGTGATACCAGCGCGTAGGATCGGCGGATTTTTAGATATCCTGAAATTTCTTCAATGAGGCCGAGGTTGGCTTCTAGCTCAACTGCCAGATTGTCTAAGGAAAGGAGAGAACATGCAGTGGGTTTCTACAGAAAATATTTCAATCTTTTCTTGATTCTCCATGGTGAGAAGATACCCCTCAGGCTGCAAACAACTGGACATACCCAGCTTAAAAGTCACCACGCTTAGAACACAATCTGAAGTCCTTACCATTCCTTAAGTGGGCGAAGCATACTTACCCCTCAGGATCTTTGCACTGGCTGTCTCTGTGGTTCAGAATATTACTCCACCATGTATCGGCTTGGCTTGTTCCATCATGATCTCAAACCCTCCTTCCCCACACCAGAGACTTCACTAAAACAGCAACCCCAGGCTGCGCACAGTGACTCACACCTGTAATCCCAGCATCTTGGGAAGTCGCGGCAGGTGGATCACTTGAGGTCAGGAGTTCAAGACCAGACTGGCCAACATGGAGAAACCCTGTCTTGACTAATACTACAAAAACAAAAACTAAAGCAACCGCTGATATTCTGTATTTCAGAGGTTGACAAATGACAGCCCACTGGCTCAATTCCACCTTTGTCGTAAATAAAGTTTCACTGGAACAGAGCCACGCTCACTAGCTGACGTGGGTCTATGGCTGTTGCCATATTACAGCGGCATAGTGGAGTGGTTATGACAGAGACTGCCCGTTCTGCAGGGCTGCATATATTCACAAAATAGCCCTTTGTAGGGAAGAGTTGCCCATTTCCATTCCACCTGTGACCCTGCTGCATTTCCCTTCACAGCAAGACCCTTACCTTCTCTTACGTTATCTGTGGTTTACTTAAGCGCAAAAATCTGCCAGGGCAAGGACTGCGCCTTGCTCACTGTCAGTATTCAATAAATGTTTGCTAGAGAAATAAACAAAGGAATGGCTTTTTTGCCTGAGACAGCTTATTATTGATTGATTGATTGATTGATGACTGATTGTTGAGACGGAGTCTTGCTCTGTCACCCAGGCTGGAGGGCAGTGGTGTGATCTCGACTCACTGCAACCTCCGACTCCCAGGTTCAAGTAATTCTTCCGCCTCAGCCTCCTGAGTAGCTGGGACTACAGGCACGTGCCACCACACCTGACTAATTTTTGTATTTTTAGTAGAGACAGGGTTTCACCATGTTGGCCAGGCTGCTCTCAAACTCCTGACCTCAAATGATCCACCCACCTCAGCCTCCCAAAGTGCTGGGATTATAGGCATGAGTCACCGAATCGGCTTTTTTTTTTTTTTTTTGAGACAGAGTCTCATTCTGTCGTCCAGGCTGGAGTACAGTGGTGCGATCTCAGCTCACTGCAACCTCCACTTCCTGATTTCAAGTTATTCTCCTGCCTCAACCTCCTGCGTAATTGGGATTACAGGTGCTTGCCAGCATGCCGGGTCAATTTTTTGTATTTTTAGTAGAGATGGGGTTTCACCATATTGGCCAGGCTGGTCTCAAACTCCTAACCTCAAGTGACCCATCCACCCAGGCCTCCCAAAGTGCCAAAGGGATTAGAGGCATGAGCCACTGCGCCTGGCCCTGAGAGTTATTTCTGAAGACACAGTCTGCAAATGTGCAGCAGGGCATATTGCCCAATTGTAAAAAATGACAATTCCAAAGCCAGGTGGGCTATCTTGTGCCTATAATTCCTGCACCTTGAGAGGCTGAGGCATGAGGATTGCTTGAGCCCTGGAGTTTGAGACTAGCCTGGGCAACATAGTGAGACCCTGTTTCTGGAAAACAATTTTTAAAAAAAATTAACCAGGTGCAGTGAAACCTGCCTATCCTCCCAGCTACTTGGGAGGCTGAGGTAGGAGGACTGCATGAGCCCAGGAGTTTGAGGCTGCAGTGAGCTAGGGTTGCCCCACTATACTCTAGCCTGGGCCACTGAGTGAGACCCTATCTCTAAAAATAAAAATAGATTTTAAAGCAGATTCCTGATGCCTCAATTCCTAATGTAGAACACGAGAATATCAAGGTGAGTGAGGCCATGACTGGACTGTTCATTTCAGGTTTTGAGGCAAACTCCCATTATGGTTCTATCCATGGGAAAGCCACGGAATGATCACCTAAAAGTGCTTTAGGAGCGTGCATCTGAGTCTGCGCTGCTTTTCCTCCCCGCTCACAGCTCACAGGGACGTGGAGCCCAGGAGGCTGCCCCCACATCCCCACAGAGAGACTCACTGCCTCCTCGGATGTTGATGATCAGACTCCCATTGATGACGGTGCATCCTCGGAGATCCTGGGCAGATGTCACTGAGTCGATGATTTTCTCGCGGTCTAGAAGGTGGCACACCTTGGGACAGGGACCCAGGCACGGGGTGCACATCAAGCTACAGATGGAGGAGAGAGAGAGAGAGAAAAAGAAAGAGAGAGAGAGAAGAATCAGGGTATTCAAGGTCCTTCAGACATTTCAGGCATCTTTCCACATATGGTATTTCTATTCTTTTCTTTTTTTTATCCCTGTTTTTCTCGAGATGGAGTCCTACTCTGTTGGGATCTCAGCTCACTGCAACCTCCGCCTCCTGGGTTCAAGCAATTCTAATAATAATAAAGATTGACAATAAATAGCAAGTGCTGCGGAGGCTGTGGAGCAATTAGAACTCTCACACATCGCTGGTGGAAATATAACAGGCTCCAACTGTTTCAACCACTTTGGAAAACAATCTAGCCTTTCCTTTTTTATTTTTTTTTTTAAGACAGAGAATTCACTTTGGGAAGCCGAGGAGGGTGGATCAGGAGGTCAAGAGATCGAGACCATCCTGGTCAACAAGGTGAAACCGCGTCTCTACTAAAAATACAAAAAATTAGCTGGGCATGGTGGCGTGTGCCTGTAGTCCCAGCTACTCAGGAGGCTGAGGCAGGAGAATTGCCTGAACCCAGGAGGCGGAGGTTGCGGTGAGCCGAGATCATGTCATTGCACTCCAGTCTGGGTAACAACAGCGAAACTCCATCTCAAAAAAAAGAAATGTCCAGGCATGGTGGTGTGCACCTGTGGTCCCAGCTACTTGAGAGATTGAGGGGCAGGATTATTTGAGCCTGCGAGTGTGAGGCTGAAGTGAGCCATAATTGTGCCATTGCACTCAATCTTGGGTGATAGATTGAGACCCTGTATCAAAAAAAAAAAACTGTTAAGACGATATTCCATTTTATTAAATATGTCTTAAAGGGTCAAAAAAAAAAAAGAGTATTGCTCTGTCACTCAGGCTGGAGTGCAGTGGCACGATCTCAGCTCACTGAAACCTCCACCTCCCGGGTTCAAGCAATTCTCCCGCCTCATCCTCCCAAGTAGCTGGGATTACAAGTGTGCAGTAGCACACCCAGCTAATTTTTGTATTTTCAGTAGAGACAGGTTTTCACCATGTTGGTCAGGCTGGTCTTGAACTTCTGACCTCAGGTGATCCACCTGCCTTGGCCTCCCAAAGTGCTGGGATTACAGGCGTGAGCCACCGTGCCTGGCCCAATGGTCACTTGTTATTAGTGGCATCACTGTTGCCGCTGCTGTTGTTCTTACACCCCTGTGTGTTCAACTCTTTAGAATGATTTTTGTGGCTGTAGTAACATAAAGAATGTATCTGGTCTTCATCCCAGTTCTTGGCATAGAGCCTCAGAAATCCTTGGAATTTTCTGAGTCATAGGAATGCTTTTGTTAGGATTGTTAAGAATGTTGGGGTGACTTGTGGTGGGGGGGGCCTAGATAACATTAGGGTGGGGATTGGTCACCAGAAAGACCAATTGTGTGATTGAAGGGTTAGGGCTTTTAGTCATCTGACTTCCAGGGAGGGGAGGGGGCTGGAAATGGCAGTGTTCAACCACATGGCCAACGATTTCAATCAATTACACCTAAGGAACGAGACTCCAATAAAAACTCTGAACACTGGGATGGGTACAGTGGCTCACATCTGTAACCCAGCACTTTGGGAGGCTGAGGCAGTCAGGAGTTCAAGACCAGCCTGGCCAACGTGGTGAAACCCTGTCTCTACTAAAAATACAAAAATTAGCTGTGCACGCCTGGAGTCTCAGCTACTCGGGAGGCACCACACCTGGCCAGGTTTATTTTCATTCTGTGAGTCGTTCCAGCAAATTATCAAACCTAGAATTTGTTGTAATCCTCCAATATAGAGTCAGTTGGTCAGAAGTGTGGGTAGCTGAGGGATCTCCAGGATTCTGCCAGTGTCTGAAGTAAGGGAAATCTCATGAAGGGCTGAGCCTTTTTTTCTTTTTTTGGAGACACAGTCTCACCCTGTTGCCCAGGCTGGAGTGCAGTGGCACAATCTCTGCTCACTACAACCTTCGCCTCCTGGGTTCAAGTGATTCTCCTGCCTCAACCTCCTGAGTAGCTGGGATTACAGGTGCCCACAACCACACCTGGTTAATTTTTTATATCTTTAGTAGAGACGGGGTTTCACCATATTGGCCAGGTGGATCTTGAACTCCTGACCTCGTGATCCGCCCACCTTGGCTTACCAAACTGCTGGGATTACAGGCATAAGCCACCATGCCCGGCCCAGGGCTGAGCCTTAAACTTGTGGAGTCTGATGCTAACTTTTGAGGAGGATGGTGTCAGAAGGGTGATGCAGTACACCCAGGTAGTGGCGGAACAGTTGAGGCAAAACAAAATAGTGACCAAATGTTTGACTTCTTTTATTGGTTCTATTCTTATGATGTGGCAGGTGATGCTCTGAGCCTGGTCTTGGCAAACAGTGGCCTAGGAGCCAAAGCCAGTTGGCCACCTGTTTTTGCAAATAATCTCCTACTGGAATATGGCCACACTTAATGGTTAGTATACGGTTTCACCCTGCTTTCATGCTGCAAAGGCAGAGGTGAGTAGCTCCAACAGAGACCATATGGCTCTAAGAGCTGAAAATATTTACTGTCTGGCCCTTGGCCAAGCTCTGTTCCCAGCTGCAGGTATACATGAGTGAACAAAGCAGATAATATGCTTTCCTTGTGGGAGATTATAAATGACCATGAGTTCTTTTTTTTTGAGACGGTGTCTTGCTCTGTCTCCCAGGCTGGAGTGCAGTGGCGTGATCTCAGCTCACTGCAACCTCTGCCTCCCTGGTTCAAGCAATTCTCCTGTCTCAGCCTCCCAAGTAGCTGGAACTAACTACTGGCACGCACCAGCATGCCTGGCAATTTTTTGTGGTTTTAGAAGAGACAGGGTTTCACCATACTGGTCAGGCTGGTATTGAACTCCTGACTTTAGGTGATCCACCCATCTTGGCTGCTCAAAGTACTGGGATTACAGGTGTGAGCCACCGCACGTGGCCCAGATGGCCACTTTTAATCAGGGTCACTAGAATGGAATCAGGAGCAAAGAGATTGTTCAAGGGGACTGGATCAGACATGATGGACAGATGGAATTGTAGAAAAATCTAAGACCTCAGCTTAATAGGAAGAAGTGAGGGAGGCCAAGAAGAGTCAAGGATTTTAGGTAATTCTCCCCTTCCCAATGGATGCCCCATACCCTTTGAAAATTTATTCATCACAAATATCTGGTCCCCCTCATCTCAGGAAGCAGTACTGTGCTCTTACATCCTAGCAGGTACTTGGGATGACAGTAGATGGTGAGACCTTTGTTTGTTTTGAGATGGAGTTTCACTCCTTTCACCCACACTGGAGTGTAATGGTGTGACAGCTCACTGCAACTTCTTCCTCTTGGGTTCAAGCAATTCTCGTGCCTCTGCCTCCTGAGTCGCTGGGATTACAGGCAGTCACTACCAATTCCAGCTGTTTTTATTTTTGCATTTTTAAAAATTATTTTTAGTAGAGAGAGGATTTCACCATGGTGGCCAGGCTAATCTCAAACTCCTGACCTCAGGTGATCCGCCCACTTTGGCCTCCCAAAGTGCTGGGATTACAGGTGTGAGCCACTGTGCCCGGCCAAGACCTTTCGACAAATCCACATGAGTTCCCAGAACTCTGCTCTGAAAACATCAAGAACTCTTTCCCAGATACGGCACCAGAATAGAAGAAAACATCTGGCCCTATTTGATATCAAACCACATTAGAAAATGCTACAATACTATAAAGACTTTCATAAAATAAAAATGAAAGCTTCAGGCTGGGTGCGCTTGGTCACGCCAGTGATCTCAGCACTTTGGGAGGCGAAGGTGGATGGCTCACTTGAGGTCAGGAGTTTGAGACCATTCTGTCCAACATGGTGAAACCCCATCTCTACTAAAAATACAAAAAAAAAAAAAAAAAGGAAAAAGAAAAAGAAAAAAGAATTAGCCAGGAATGGTGGTGGAGCTAATCCTAGCTCCTTGGGAGGCTGAGGTAGGAGAATTGTTTGAACCTGGGAGGCTGAGATTACAGTGAGCCAAGATTGCGCCATTGTACTCTAGCCTGGACAACAAGAATGAAACTTAAAGAAACAAAACAAAAGTCTTAAAGAAACAAAAACAAAACAGCTGGGCATGGTGGCGGGCGCCTGTAATCCCAGCTACTCGAGAGGCTGAGTCAGGAGAATTGCTGGAACCTGGGAGGTAGAGGTTGCAGTGAGCAGAGATCACACCACTGCACTCCAGCCTGGGTGACAAAGTGAGGCTCTGTCTCTGAAAATAAATAAATAAATAAAAGCTTCAGAAATAGAAATAGTAATTTTTTTAAACCTACAAAAGAAAACACTGTGACAATGAACCATTCTCTCCATTCAGGAATGGGCCCAGATGCCAAGATATGCTGTCAATTTCCGGGGGTTTTTGTTTTAGCACTACTGCACCATCAGTGAGAAAATCAAAGGAGGTTGCTATATTTCTCAGGCTGTAGTTACGGTGAGGGAAAAACACCTTTTTTTTAAAATTATTTTTATTTTTTGAGACAGAGTTTCACTCTTGTTACCCAGGCTGGAGTGCAATGACATGATCTCGGCTCACCGCAACCTCCACCTCCTGGGTTCAGGCAATTCTCCTGCCTCAGCCTCCCGAGTAGCTGGGATTACAGGCACGCGCCACCATGCCCAGCTAATTTTTGTATTTTTAGTAGAGACGGGGTTTCACCATGTTGACCAGGATGGTCTCGATCTCTTGACCTCGTGATCCACCCGCCTCGGCCTCCCAAAGTGCTGGGATTACAGGCGTGAGCCACCGCGCCCGGCCTCCCAAAGTGCTGGGATAACAGGAAAAACACCTTTTACATAAGGCCAATGTCTTAAACATCTTGCCAGGGGTTATTAACCCATGTTTTAAAAATTTTTCAAATGTGATTTTAAAAACAAAGAAAGAGGCCAGGCATGGTGGCTTCCGCCTGTAATCCCAGCATTTTGGGAGGCTGAGGTGGGCGGATCACAAGGTCAGGAGTTCGAGACCAGCCTGACCAACATGGTGAAAGTTCATCTTTACTAAAAATACAAAAATTAGCCGGGCATGGTGGCGGGCACCTGTAATCCCAGCTACTCAGGAGGCTGAGGCAGGAGAATCACTTAAACTGTGGAGGTGGAGGTTGCAGTGAGCTGAGATCACACTGCTGCACTCCAGCCTGGGTGACAGAGCAAGACTCCATCTCAAAAAAAGAAAGAAAGAAATGAATTAAAAGGAATATAGCCATTTTCCCAATCTTGGGAATACACTGGCCAAAAAAAAAAAACCAAAAAAAACAAAAATGTTCTCTCTGGTATGCAAAAGGTGATTTATAGACACTTTTGGTCAATAAAGCCAAAAGATTTTTGTTGGTAGGATTTGTATGAAAAATGAGCAAAACAAAACATATTGTACTTGCAGTTTTCGCAAACATTAGAAGAAAGAGTCATAAGAACCGAAATGAAAACTTGTTTTCCTTCCCACCCTCTCCACCCAGGGAAATAAAACTTCCCACCACAACACTCTCACTTGGCCAATTTTCAAGTCTGAAGAGGAAGATATTTTACGTAAGCAGGTCAGCTCAAGGCCTTTTGGTGTGTGTCTGTTTCTGATTTGTTTTTGTGTTATTTTGTGGTGTGTGTTTGTGTGTGTGTGTGTGTGTGTTTAAAACAAAACAAAAAGCCTCAATATGAAAACCAGGAAACAGATTTTTGAAACTCAGTTATGGCCCCAAAATAGCTCATGGAAGAAGCTAACAGCACGAACAGAAAGTCTACGATATGCGTAGAAAATCTGACTCACTGCCGAAGAGAGAAAATCCTGCTATTTCTCACCCAAAAGGCAGGAAATGGTTTGATTATACTGCCCTTCAGAGAACAGCAAAGCCTGACAATTATGCAGAAGTGAGTCTCTTCCTCCTGGAGACGGCATGTTCTGGGTTAATCTTGGCACACTACCAGGCTACAGGTCAGGGAAGACACGAAAGACCTTGGCAATATCCTTGATGTAACAATGATGAAGCGACCTCAGTGAGGACAGGCCATGTGGAGGACTTTAGGGAAAACCAAGGACTCTGACCTTATGCTTTTTTCTTGTTCTGAAGCTAAGCACAGAAAGCTTAGAACTGGGATGCACAATGCCAGGCTGGGTGCGGTGGCTCACACCCGTAATCCCAGCATTCTGGGAGGCCGAGGCCTGCAGATCACCTGAGGTCAGGAGTTTGAGACCAGCCTAGCCAACATGGCAAAACCCTGTCTCTATTAAAAATACCAAAAATTAGCCAGGCCTGATGGCAAGCACCTGTAGTCCCAGCTGCTTGGGAGGCTGAGGCAGGAAAATCACTTGATCCAGGAGGCAGAGGTTGCAGTGAGCCAGGATCATGCCACTGCACTTCAGCTTGGGCAAGAGAGCAAGATTTCATCTCAAAAAAAAAAAAAAAAAAAAAAAAAGAATGGTATGTACAATGCCAGAATATATACTATCTGGCCCTTTAGAGAAAAAGGTAGTCAATTCCTGCTCCCAAGCCCAGGACCAAAACAGAGGGCAAAAGTAACATCTGAAAGTGGAGGCCTCACTCACAGCCAATGAATCCTGGGTTTGCACGCAGTCTTTTTGTTTTTGTTTTTGTTTTGAGACACAGTTTCACTCTTGTTGCCCAGGCTGGAGTGCAATGGTGTGATCTCAGCTCATAGCAACCTCCACCTCCCGAGTTCAAGCAATTCTCCTGCCTCAGCCTCCCGAGTAGCTGGGATTACAGGCATGTGCCGCCACACCTGGTTAATTTTTAATTTTTTTAGTAGAGATGGGGTTTCCCCATGTTGGTCAGGCTGGTCTCGAACTCCTGACCTCAGCTGATCCACCCACCTTGGCCTCCCAAAGTGCTGGGATTACAGGCATGAGTCAGACACAGTTTTAACAGGCAGTACCATCACAACCAACCACATGTTCCTTCTTCTCTTGGCTGCCCCCCAAGACCCACATGCAGGACTCACTTGCTGGAATTCATCGTGTACCCAGAGGGACACTCGGGGAGGCACTTGTTGTTGTGAATGACGTACTGGTAGCAGCTCTGCCTCTGCGAATTCTTGCATTTGTAGTGCAGGTCCTGGCAGAAGCTGAAGTTCACGCAGCGCCAGTCCTGGAACTGGTAGTACGGGGGCGGGCAGGAGTCCACACACCTGCCGTCCAGGTAGTAGTTGCGGCAGGCCACGCACTTGGTGGGGTCGCCGGGCTCAGAACAGTTGCCCAAGCACTCACTATGGCAACAGAGGCCTTCCGCGGTGCAGCCGTGTGACTTACAGATGGTCGGGCAAACTGGAGAGAGAGAGGGGGAAGACAAAATAGAACAGCTGGTCAGTGGCTTTGTCTAATTCCTGTCTGCCTATGCAGCAGTTCTGAATCAGACAGTGAAAGCCAAGCAAAACACTAACAATAAAAACGGCTCTTCTACATCACTAGCCACGTGCCAGAGCCATCTATTCACTGGTTTAAGCCTCCAAACGACTGGGGTGCCTGTAAATGTTTAACTGCTGCCTGGGGGAGGGGGACAGAGGGGCCCAGATTTATATAGCATTTGCTAATTTCCATGGTGTAAATATTCCTGCCAGTGGTGGGTTTCAGGCTACCAACATGTTATTACCAAACCAGAGCTGGCACGAGATACCGAGTAGCATTCTTCTAAATAGTATCGATAAGTAAATACAAAGTATGCCCACGATCGACGCGAAAGTAGTAAATAACCTCAACAGCATGAATGACAGGAACGCATCCTATGATATTAGGAGGTGGTAAGTTGAGTATTCATCATTTTTTAAACCTTTAAACACCTTCAATTTTAAAACCTTTGATATTAATGTAATTTGTTTAATTGTAGGTTTATGTAATTTTTATGAATATCTATGTTTAACAAGTAGCTCAAAAATGGCCTGGAAATTTCACCATTGGCTCTAGCAAGCCAACTCCAGCATGCTGCTGCACCCCACATATGAAGTAGATATATTGTTATCTCGTTTAAAAAAAAATTCTTACAAAAAGGGAAACTGAGGCACGGGGAGATTAAGTAACTTGCCCCCAAACCACTGATTGCTTTGACAGATACTTGCTTGCATTAAGCTAGACACTGAAGTCACTATGGGGGAAGAGGTGGCTGCAGACCCTGCCTTTGGGAGCACAAGGTCTAATGGAGACCTGTGAATTACTGAAACATGCAAATGTGGCCGGATGCGGTGGCTCATGCCTGTCATCCCAGCACTTTGGGAGGTCGAGGCGGGTTGATCACCCGAGGTCAGGAGTTTGAGACCAGCCTGGCCAACATGGTGAAACCCCGTCTCAACCAAAAATACAAAAATTAACCAGATATGGTAGTGCGCGCCTGTAATCCCAGCTACTCGGGAGGCTGAGGCACGAGAATCACTTGAACCCTGGAGATGCAAGTTGCAGGAAGAGCCGAGATCATGCCACTGTACTTCAGCCTTGGTAACAGAGCCAGACTCTGTCTTAAAACAAAAACAAAACAAAACCAAAATAAAAGAAAGAAAGCTGGGGAGTGTTCTTTACCCCAAATCCTCAGACTGTGAGTATCAGCACAGTGGATCCCACTGGCCAGACTCAGGGAACAGAAGTGGCCCCAGAAGCTACATCCATATATGAGCAGCACAGTCCGATGGAACTTTCTGCAATGACGGAAAAGTTCTCTCTCTGGCCATCCGACACAGTAGCCACTTGTCCCCTGTGGCTACCGAATGTGGTCAGTACAACTAGGAAATCCAATTTTTTTTTAATTGTGGTAAAACACACATAGCATACAATTCACTCCTGTAATCACGTGTACGTGCATAGCTCAGTGGCATTACACACTTTCACATGGCTGTGCAATCACTGCCACCACCCATCTCCAGAACTTTCTCATCTTCCCAAAGAGAAGCTCTGTCCCCCTGAAACACTCACACACACCCTCCTCCCCAGCTCCTGGCACCTCCCATTCTACTTTCTGTCTCTGTGAATCTGACGACTCTAGGGACCTCCTGTAACTGGAATAATATGGGATTTATTCTTTGTTATTTATTTTGAGATGGAGTCTCACTCTGTCACTCAGGCTGGAGGGCAGTGGTTAGATATCAGCTTATTGCAACCTCCACCTCCTGGGTTCAAGGAATTCTTGTGCCTCAGCTTCTGAGTAGCTGGGATTATAGGTGTCCACCATCACGCCTGGCTAATTTTGTCGTATTTTTAGTAGAGACAGGGTTTCACCACGTTGGCCAGGCTGGTCTCGAACTCCTAACCTCAGGTGATCCGCCGGCCTCGGCCTCCCAAAGTGCTGGGATTACCAATGTGAGCCACCATGCCTGACCTAGCTGTACAATTTTACATTCCCATCAACAGTGTACCAGGGTTACAATTTTTACCAAGGAACCAAACTTTTAACTGCATTTCATTTTAATTTCAGTTTAAAATTTTAAAAAAAGTTTTAAATTGATACAATAATATTTTACCTATTTATGGGGTATATGTGATATTTTGTCACATGGATAAAATGTGTAATGGTTTCTTTTGTGTGTGTGTGATGGAATCTGGCTCTGTCCCCAGGCTCTGGGATGCAGTGACACGATCACTATCCTCAGTCTCCTGGGCTCAGGTGATCCTCCCACCTTGGCCTCCTGAGTAGCTGAACTATGAACATGCTCCACCATCTCCAGCTAAGTTTTTAATTTTTTGTAGAAACGGAGTCTCCCTATGTTGCCCAGGCTGGTCTTGAACTCCTGGCTCCAGCGATCTTCCCAAATTGCTGGATTACAGGCGTGAGCCACCATGCCTGACACAGTTCCAATTATTAATTAGCCACAGGTGACTACCATCGCCCACACTAGACAGCACAGGCATAGAGAATAAAACCAGACTCCCTACAGGCTTTGTGGGTCTAATCCCTGCCAGTCTTGCTAAATCCTTCTCCCAACCCCAGGCAGCAGCCATGCTGGCCTCCTTTCTGCTCCCCCCACCCACATACACCCAGGCTCAGCCCTGCCTTAGGACCTTGCATAAGCTGTCCTGGCTGGAGCACCCTGGTCCCTTGTCCCCTCACGACTGGCTCCTTTGCACCCTTCAAGTCTCGACACCTTACACAGACCTTCCCTGATCTCTCCAGCAGAAGTTGCCCCTCCTCAATTCATGAGCTAACACATTATCTCATTACATTTTCCTTATGGCACGGATCACTCTTGAAAATTATCTTGGGGCCGGGAGCAGTGGCTCACGCCTATAATCCCAGCACTCTGGGAAGCTGAGATGGGCAATTACTTGAGGTCAGGAGTTTGAGACCAGCCTGGCCAACATGGTGAAACCCCATCTCAACTAAAAATACAAAAATTAGTCAGATGTGGTGGTGCACACCTGTTATCCCAGCTACTCGGGAGGCTGAGGCAGGAGAATCGCTTGAACCTAGGAGACAAAGGTTGCAGTGAGTCGAGATTGTGCCACTGCACTCCAGTCTGGGCGACAGAGCGAGACTCCATCTCCCAAAGAAAGCGGAGGATTGTTAATAAGAGTCCTTTGTTTCCTTCTTACAGTTGTTGCAAAAAATAAACAGGATGTCAATAACACATCAGATTCTTTGATACAGACATTTTTAGGCTTGATAGAAATTAGCGACAAGGGGTACCTATAATTATCATAACTATCAACATCATTAGCACTGGTCTGTCTGTGGGAACCTTTGGGTTGAAATTCAATTGAAGGAAGCAATCTACAAAGCAGACAACAATTATCTGGGGCCCACGGAGTCCCAGCGCTCTGGCAAGGACACACACTAGGACAGGAAGGGGCTTGTTTCCTGGGCTGGAGCCACTTCAGAGGGTCATCAATGGCCTTGACAAAACCTCTCAAACACATAAGCCTTCCGGCCTAGACAATGCAAAGAAGAAAAATTACCCAACCATTGCAAACAAGGCCAGAGGCTGCAAGACTGCCATCCTGTGAGAGAGCGATCCTATGTTACAGCCCTGTCTGGCAGGTCCATTTGAGCTCCTTCATTCTCCAGGATAGGAGTTGGTCAACTTTTTCTGTAAAGGACCACAAGCAAATACTTGAGGCTTTGCAGGATACATGGTGTCTGTTGAAACTACTCAACTCCGCCATGATGCATGATAGCAGCTACATGCAGTACGTACATGAAGAGGGATGGCTGAGTCTAATAAGTTTATTTATATATATAAAAAAGGGATGAATTCATATCTTTTGCAGGGACATGGATGAAGCTGGAAACCATCATTCTCAGCAAACTAACACAGAAACTGAAAACCAAACACCACATGTTCTCACTCATAAGTGGGGGGGAGTTGAACAATGAGAACACATTGACACAGGTGGGGAACATCACACACCGGGGTTTTTCATGGGGTGAGGGGCTAGGAGAGGGATAGCATTAGGAGAAATACCTAATGTAGATGACGGGTTGACGGGTGCAGCAAACCACCACGGCACGTGTGTACCTATGTAACAAACCTGCATGTTCTGCACATGTATCCCACAACTTAAAATATAATAATAAAAAATAAACGAAAGCCAGCAATAGGCCAGATAGTTTACCAACCTGCTCTGGTGAAATGTACCTGTAATTTATTTATTTTATTTTATTTTTGAGACAGAGTCTTGCTCTGTTGCCCAGGCTGGAGTATGGTGGTACAATCTCCGCTCACTGCAACCTCTGCGTCCCGGGGTTCAAGTGATTCTTCTGCCTCAGCCTCCTGAATAGCTGGGATTACAGGTACCTATCATCATGCCAGGATAATTTTTGTATTTTTAGTAAAGATGGGGTTTCACTGTGTTGGCCAGGCTGGTCTGACTTCAAGTGATCTGCCCACCTTGGCCTCTCAAAGTGATGAGATTGGAGGCGTGACCCACTACACCCGGATGATTTTACTATTTCTATTAGGGCCTAGACTCGTGGAAATTAGTGCTAACCTACAGACAGATATGCTGCAAATTATTTTCATCTCAGAGAAGAGATCATCTCAGCTGGGCATGATGGCACATGCCTGTAATCCCAGAACTTTAGGAGGCTGAGGCAAGCAGATCACTTGATATTGGGAGTTCGAGACCAGCCTGACCAACATGGAGAAACCCCATCCCTACTAAAAATAAAAATTACCTGGGTGTGGGGGCGTGTGCCTATAATCTCAGCTACTCAGGAGGCTGAGGCAGGAGAATCTCTTGAACCCCAGGAGGTGAAGTTTACAATGGGCCAAGATTGTGCCACTGCACTCCAGCCTGAGAGGCAGAGTGAGACTCCAACTTAAAAAAAAAAAAAAAGAAAGAAAGAA